GTGGTTGTTGGTGCTGCAGTTGTGGTTGTCGGTGCTGCAGTAGTGGTTGTAGGTGCTTCAATTGTGGTTGTTGGTGCTGCAGTTGTGGTTGTAGGTGCTGCGGTAGTGGTTGTAGGTGCTGCAGTTGTGGTTGCAGGTGCTGCAGTTGTGGTCGTAGGTGCTGCAGTGGTGGTTGTAGGTGCTGTTGTTGTGGTTGTAGGTGCTGCAGTTGTGGTTGTAGGTGCTGAAGTTGTGGTTGTAGGTGCTGCAGTTGTGGTTGTAGGAGCTTCAGTTGTGGTTGTAGGTGCTGCAATCGTGGTTGTTGGTGCTGCAGTTGTGATTGTTGGTGCTTCAGTTGTGGTTGTAGGTGCTGCAGTAGTGGTTGTAGGTGCTGCAGTTGTGGTTGTAGAAGCTTCAGTTGCAGTTGCTGGTGCTGGAGTTGTTGTTGTAGGTGCTGCAGTTGTGGTTGTTGGTGCTGCAGTTGTGGGTGTAGGTGCTGCAGTTGTGCTTGTAGGTGCTGCAGTTGTGGATGGAGGTGTTGCAGTTGTGGTGGTTTGTGCTGAAGTGGTAGTTGTATGTGCTGCAGTTGTGGTTGTTGGTGCTGCAGTTGCGGTTGGAGGTGCTTCAGTTGCTGTTGTTGGTGCTGCAGATGTGGTTGTAGGTGCAAGAGTTGTGGTTTTTGGTGCTGCAGTTGTGGTTGTAGGTGCTGCAGTTGTGGTTGTAGGTGCAGCAGTCGTGGTTGTTGGTGCTGCAATTGTGGTTGTTAGTGCTGCAGTTGTGGTTGTAGGTGCTGCAGTTGTGGTTGTAGGTGCTGCAGTTGTGGTTGTAGGTGCTTCAGTTGCGGTTGGAGGTGCTTCAGTTGCGGTTGTTGGTGCTGCAGTTGTGGTTGTAGGTGCTGCAGTTGTGGTTTTTGGTGCTGCAGTTGTGGTTGTAGGTGCTTCAATTGCGGTTGTAGGTGCTGCAGATGTGGTTGTAGGTGCTGTAGTTGTGGTTTTTGATGCTGTTGTGGTTGTAGGTGCTGCAGTTTTGGTTGGAGGTGCTTCAGTTGCAGTTGTTGCTGCTGCAGTTGTGGTTGTAGGTGCAGCAGTTGTGGTTGTTGGTGCTGCGGTTGTGGCTGTTTGTGCTAAAGTGGTAGTTGTATGTGCTGCAGTTGTGGTTGTTGGTGCTGCAGTTGTGGTTGTAGGTTCTTCAATAGCAAATGTTGTTGCTGCAGTTGTGGTTGTAGGTGCTGCAGTAGTGGTTGTAGGTGCTGCAGTTGTGGTTGTAGAAGCTTCAGTTGCGGTTGCTGGTGCTGCAGTTGTTGTTGCAGGTGCTGCAGTTGTGGTTGTTGGTGCTGCAGTTGTGGTTGTATGTGCTGCAGTTGTGGTTGTAGGTGCTTCAGTTGCTGTTGTAGGTGCTGCAGATGTGGTTGTAGGTGCTGTAGTTGTGGTTTTTGGTGCTGCAGTTGTGGTTGTAGGTGCTGCAGTTGTGGTTGTTGGTGCTGCAGTTGTGGTTGTAGGTGCTGCAGTAGTGGTTGTAGGTGCTTCAATTGTGGTTGTTGGTGCTGCAGTTGTGGTTGTTGGTGCTGCAGTTGTGGTTGTAGGTGCTGCAGTTGTGGTTGTAGGTGCTGCAGTTGTGGTTGTAGGTGCTGCAGTTGTGGTTGTAGGTGCTGCAGTTGTGGTTGTAGGTGCTGCAGTAGTGGTTGTAGGTGCTTCAATTGTGGTTGTTGGTGCTGCAGTTGTGGTTGTTGGTGCTGCAGTTGTGGTTGTAGGTGCTGCAGTAGTGGTTTTAGGTGCTTCAATTGTGGTTGTTGGTGCTGCAGTTGTGGTTGTAGGTGCTGCAGTAGTGGTTGTAGGTGCTGCAGTAGTGGTTGTAGGTGCTGCAGTTGCGGTTGTAGGTGCTGCTGTTGTGGTTGTAGGTGCTGCAGTTGTGGTTGTAGGTGCTGCAGTTGTGGTTTTTGGTGCTGCAGTTGTGGTTGTAGGTGCTTCAGTTGCGGTTGTAGGTGCTGCAGATGTTGTTGTAGGTGCTGTAGTTGTGGTTTTTGGTGCTGCAGTTGTGGTTGTAGGTGCTGCAGTTGTGGTTGTAAGTGCTTCAGTTGCGGTTGTTGGTGCTGCAGTTGTGGTTGTAGGTCCTGCAGTTGTGGTTTTTGGTGCTGCAGTTGTGGTTGTAGGTGCTTCAGTTGCAGTTGTAGGTGCTGCAGCCGTGGTTGTAGGTGCTGCAGCCGTGGTTGTAGGTGCTGTAGTTGTGGTTTTTGGTGCTGCAGTTGTGGTTGTAGGAGCTGCTGTTGTGGTTGTAGGTGCTGCAGTTGTGGTTGTAGGTGCTGCAGTTGTGGTTGGAGGTGCTTCAGTTGCGGTTGTTGGTGCTGCAGTTGTGGTTGTAGGTGCTGCAGTTGTGGTTGTTGGTGCTGCAGTTGTGGTTGTTGGTACTGCAGTTGTGGTTGTAGGTGCTGCAGTTGTGGTTTTTGGTGCAGCAGTTGTGGTTGTAGGTGCTTCAGTTGCGGTTGTAGGTGCTGCAGATGTGGTTGTAAGTGCTGTAGTTGTGGTTTTTGGTGCTGCAGTTGTGGTTGTAGGTGCTGCAGTTGTGGTTGTAGGTGCTGCAGTTGTGGTTGTAGGTGCTGCAGTCGTGGTTGTTGGTGCTGCAGTTGTGGTTGTTGGTGCTGCAGTTGTGGTTGTAGGTGCTGCAGTAGTGGGTGTAGGTGCTTCAATTGTGGTTGTTGGTGCTGCAGTTGTGGTTGTAGGTGCTGCAGTAGTGGTTGTAGGTGCTGCAGTTGTGGTTGTAGGTGCTGCAGTTGCGGTTGTTGGTGCTGCAGTTGTGGTTGTAGGTGCTGCAGTCGTGGTTGTAGGTGCTGCAGTTGTGGTTGTAGGTGCTGCAATTGTGGTTGTTTGTCCTGCGGTTGTGGTGGTTTGTGCTGAAGTGGAAGTTGTATGTGCTGCAGTTGTGGTTGTTGGTGCTGCAGTTGGGGTTGTAGGTGCTTCAGTTGCAGTTGTTGGTGCTAGAGTTGTGGTTGTTGGTGCTGCAGTTGTGGTTGTAGGTGCTGCAGTAGTGGTTTTAGGTGCTTCAATTGTGGTTGTTGGTGCTGCAGTTGTGGTTGTAGGTGCTGCAGTAGTGGTTGTAGGTGCTGCAGTAGTGGTTGTAGATGCTTCAATTGTGGTTGTTGGTGCTGCAGTTGTGGTTGTAGGTGCTGCAGTAGTGGTTGTAGGTGCTGCAGTTGTGGTTGTAGGTGCTGCAGTTGTGGTTGTAGGTGCTGCAGTTGTGGTTGTAGGTGCTGCAGTTGTGGTTGTTGGTGCTGCAGTTGTGGTTGTAGGTGCTGCAGTAGTGGTTGTAGGTGCTTCAATTGTGGTTGTTGGTGCCGCAGTTATGGTTGTTGATGCTGCAGTGTTGGTTGTAGGTGCTGCAGTTGTGGTTGTAGGTGCTGCAGTTGTGGTTGTAGGTGCTGCAGTTGTGGTTGTAGGTGCTGCAGTAGTGGTTGTAGGTGCTTCAATTGTGGTTGTTGGTGCTGCAGTTGTGGTTGTTGGTGCTGCAGTTGTGGTTGTAGGTGCTGCAGTAGTGGTTTTAGGTGCTTCAATTGTGGTTGTTGGTGCTGCAGTTGTGGTTGTAGGTGCTGCAGTAGTGGTTGTAGGTGCTGCAGTAGTGGTTGTAGGTGCTGCAGTTGCGGTTGTAGGTGCTGCTGTTGTGGTTGTAGGTGCTGCAGTTGTGGTTGTAGTTGCTGCAGTTGTGGTTGTAGGTGCTGCAGTTGTGGTTTTTGGTGCTGCAGTTGTGGTTGTAGGTGCTTCAGTTGCGGTTGTAGGTGCTGCAGATGTTGTTGTAGGTGCTGTAGTTGTGGTTTTTGGTGCTGCAGTTGTGGTTGTAGGTGCTGCAGTTGTGGTTGTAAGTGCTTCAGTTGCGGTTGTTGGTGCTGCAGTTGTGGTTGTAGGTGCTGCAGTTGTGGTTGTAGGTGCTTCAGTTGCAGTTGTAGGTGCTGCAGCCGTGGTTGTAGGTGCTGTAGTTGTGGTTTTTGGTGCTGCAGTTGTGGTTGTAGGAGCTGCTGTTGTGGTTGTAGGTGCTGCAGTTGTGGTTGTAGGTGCTGCAGGTGTGGTTGTAGGTGCTTCAGTTGCGGTTGTTGGTGCTGCAGTTGTGGTTGTAGGTGCTGCAGTTGTGGTTGTTGGTGCTGCAGTTGTGGTTGTTGGTGCTGCAGTTGTGCTTGTAGGTGCTGCAGTTGTGGTTTTTGGTGCAGCAGTTGTGGTTGTAGGTGCTTCAGTTGCGGTTGTAGGTGCTGCAGATGTGGTTGTAAGTGCTGTAGTTGTGGTTTTTGGTGCTGCAGTTGTGGTTGTAGGTGCTGCAGTTGTGGTTGTAGGTGCTGCAGTCATGGTTGTTGGTGCTGCAGTTGTGGTTGTTGGTGCTGCAGTTGTGGTTGTAGGTGCTGCAGTAGTGGGTGTGGGTGCTTCAATTGTGGTAGTTGGTGCTGCAGTAGTGGTTGTAGGTGCTGCAGTTGTGGTTGTAGGTGCTGCAGTTGCGGTTGTTGGTGCTGCAGTTGTGGTTGTAGGTGCTGCAGTCGTGGTTGTAGGTGCTGCAGTTGTGGTTGTAGGTGCTGCAATTGTGGTTGTTTGTCCTGCGGTTGTGGTGGTTTGTGCTGAAGTGGAAGTTGTATGTGCTGCAGTTGTGGTTGTTGGTGCTGCAGTTGGGGTTGTAGGTGCTTCAGTTGCAGTTGTTGGTGCTAGAGTTGTGGTTGTTGGTGCTGCAGTTGTGGTTGTAGGTGCTGCAGTAGTGGTTTTAGGTGCTTCAATTGTGGTTGTTGGTGCTGCAGTTGTGGTTGTAGGTGCTGCAGTAGTGGTTGTAGGTGCTGCAGTAGTGGTTGTAGGTGCTGCAGTTGCGGTTGTAGGTGCTGCTGTTGTGGTTGTAGGTGCTGCAGGTGTGGTTGGAGGTGCTTCAGTTGCGGTTGTTGGTGCTGCAGTTGTGGTTGTAGGTGCTGCAGTTGTGGTTGTTGGTGCTGCAGTTGTGGTTGTTGGTGCTGCAGTTGTGGTTGTATGTGCTGCAGTAGTGGTTGTAGATGCTTCAATTGTGGTTGTTGGTGCTGCAGTTGTGGTTGTAGGTGCTGCAGTAGTGGTTGTAGGTGCTGCAGTTGTGGTTGTAGGTGCTGCAGTTGTGGTTGTAGGTGCTGCAGTTGTGGTTGTAGGTGCTGCAGTTGTGGTTGTTTGTGCTGCAGTTGTGGTTGTAGGTGCTGCAGTAGTGGTTGTAGGTGCTTCAATTGTGGTTGTTGGTGCTGCAGTTGTGGTTGTTGGTGCTGCAGTTGTGGTTGTAGGTGCTGCAGTTGTGGTTGTAGGTGCTGCAGTTGTGGTTGTAGGTGCTGCAGTTGTGGTTGTAGGTGCTGCAGTTGTGGTTGTAGGTGCTGCAGTAGTGGTTGTAGGTGCTTCAATTGTGGTTGTTGGTGCTGCAGTTGTGGTTGTTGGTGCTTCAGTTGTGGTTGTAGGTGCTGCAGTAGTGGTTTTAGGTGCTTCAATTGTGGTTGTTGGTGCTGCAGTTGTGGTTGTAGGTGCTGCAGTAGTGGTTGTAGGTGCTGCAGTAGTGGTTGTAGGTGCTGCAGTTGCGGTTGTAGGTGCTGCTGTTGTGGTTGTAGGTGCTGCAGTTGTGGTTGTAGGTGCTGCAGTTGTGGTTGTAGGTGCTGCAGTTGTGGTTTTTGGTGCTGCAGTTGTGGTTGTAGGTGCTTCAGTTGCGGTTGTAGGTGCTGCAGATAATGTTGTAGGTGCTGTAGTTGTGGTTTTTGGTGCTGCAGTTGTGGTTGTAGGTGCTGCAGTTGTGGTTGTATGTGCTTCAGTTGCGGTTGTTGGTGCTGCAGTTGTGGTTGTAGGTGCTGCAGTTGTGGTTTTTTGTGCTGCAGTTGTGGTTGTAGGTGCTTCAGTTGCAGTTGTAGGTGCTGCAGCCATGGTTGTAGGTGCTGTAGTTGTGGTTTTTGGTGCTGCAGTTGTGGTTGTAGGAGCTGCTGTTGAGGTTCTAGGTGCTGCAGTTGTGGTTGTAGGTGCTGCAGGTGTGGTTGGAGGTGCTGCAGTTGCGGTTGTTGGTGCTGTTGTTGTGGTTGTTGGTGCTGCAGTTGTGGTTGTTGGTGCTGCAGTTGTGGTTGTAGGTGCTGCAGTTGTGGTTTTTGGTGCAGCAGTTGTGGTTGTAGGTGCTTCAGTTGCGGTTGTAGGTGCTGCAGATGTGGTTGTAAGTGCTGTAGTTGTGGTTTTTGGTGCTGCAGTTGTGGTTGTAGGTGCTGCAGTTGTGGTTGTAGGTGCTGCAGTCGTGGTTGTTGGTGCTGCAGTTGTGGTTGTTGGTGCTGCAGTTGTGGTTGTAGGTGCTGCAGTAGTGGGTGTAGGTGCTTCAATTGTGGTTGTTGGTGCTGCAGTTGTGGTTGTAGGTGCTGCAGTAGTGGTTGTCGGTGCTGCAGTTGTGGTTGTAGGTGCTGCAGTTGCGGTTGTTGGTGCTGCAGTTGTGGTTGTAGGTGCTGCAGTCGTGGTTGTAGGTGCTGCAGTTGTGGTTGTAGGTGCTGCAATTGTGGTTGTTTGTCCTGCGGTTGTGGTGGTTTGTGCTGAAGTGGAAGTTGTATGTGCTGCAGTTGGGGTTGTAGGTGCTTCAGTTGCAGTTGTTGGTGCTGCAGTTGTGGTTGTCGGTGCTGCAGTTGTGGTTGTAGGTGCTGCAGTAGTGGTTTTAGGTGCTTCAATTGTGGTTGTTGGTGCTGCAGTTGTGGTTGTAGGTGCTGCAGTAGTGGTTGTAGGTGCTGCAGTAGTGGTTGTAGGTGCTGCAGTTGCGGTTGTAGGTGCTGCTGTTGTGGTTGTAGGTGCTGCAGGTGTGGTTGGAGGTGCTTCAGTTGCGGTTGTTGGTGCTGCAGTTGTGGTTGTAGGTGCTGCAGTTGTGGTTGTTGGTGCTGCAGTTGTGGTTGTAGGTGCTGCAGTTGTGGTTGTAGGTGCTGCAGTTGTGGTTGTAGGTGCTGCAGTTGTGGTTGTAGGTGCTGCAGTAGTGGTTATAGGTGCTTCAATTGTGGTTGTTGGTGCTGCAGTTGTGGTTGTTGGTGCTTCAGTTGTGGTTGTAGGTGCTGCAGTAGTGGTTTTAGGTGCTTCAATTGTGGTTGTTGGTGCTGCAGTTGTGGTTGTAGGTGCTGCAGTAGTGGTTGTAGGTGCTGCAGTAGTGGTTGTAGGTGCTGCAGTTGCGGTTGTAGGTGCTGCTGTTGTGGTTGTAGGTGCTGCAGTTGTGGTTGTAGGTGCTGCAGTTGTGGTTTTTGGTGCTGCAGTTGTGGTTGTAGGTGCTTCAGTTGCGGTTGTAGGTGCTGCAGATGTTGTTGTAGGTGCTGTAGTTGTGGTTTTTGGTGCTGCAGTTGTGGTTGTAGGTGCTGCAGTTGTGGTTGTAAGTGCTTCAGTTGCGGTTGTTGGTGCTGCAGTTGTGGTTGTAGGTGCTGCAGTTGTGGTTTTTGGTGCTGCAGTTGTGGTTGTAGGTGCTTCAGTTGCAGTTGTAGGTGCTGCAGCCGTGGTTGTAGGTGCTGTAGTTGTGGTTTTTGGTGCTGCAGTTGTGGTTGTAGGAGCTGCTGTTGTGGTTGTAGGTGCTGCAGTTGTGGTTGTAGGTGCTGCAGGTGTGGTTGGAGGTGCTTCAGTTGCGGTTGTTGGTGCTGCAGTTGTGGTTGTAGGTGCTGCAGTTGTGGTTGTTGGTGCTGCAGTTGTGGTTGTTGGTGCTGCAGTTGTGGTTGTAGGTGCTGCAGTTGTGGTTTTTGGTGCAGCAGTTGTGGTTGTAGGTGCTTCAGTTGCGGTTGTAGGTGCTGCAGATGTGGTTGTAAGTTCTGTAGTTGTGGTTTTTGGTGCTGCAGTTGTGGTTGTAGGTGCTGCAGTTGTGGTTGTAGGTGCTGCAGTCGTGGTTGTTGGTGCTGCAGTTGTGGTTGTTGGTGCTGCAGTTGTGGTTGTAGGTGCTGCAGTAGTGGGTGTAGGTGCTTCAATTGTGGTTGTTGGTGCTGCAGTTGTGGTTGTAGGTGCTGCAGTAGTGGTTGTAGGTGCTGCAGTTGTGGTTGTAGGTGCTGCAGTTGTGGTTGTAGGTGCTGCAGTTGCGGTTGTAGGTGCTGCTGTTGTGGTTGTAGCTGCTGCAGTTGTGGTTGTAGGTGCTGCAGTTGTGGTTGTAGGTGCTGCAGTTGTGGTTTTTGGTGCTGCAGTTGTGGTTGTAGGTGCTTCAGTTGCGGTTGTAGGTGCTGCAGATGTGGTTGTAGGTGCTGTAGTTGTGGTTTTTGGTGCTGCAGTTGTGGTTGTAGGTGCTGCAGTTGTGGTTTTTGGTGCTGCAGTTGTGGTTGTAGGTGCTTCAGTTGTGGTTGTAGGTGCTGCAATCGTGGTTGTTGGTGCTGCAGTTGTGATTCTTGGTGCTGCAGTTGTGGTTGTAGGTGCTGCAGTAGTGGTTGTAGGTGCTTCAATTGTGGTTGTTGGTGCTGCAGTTGTGGTTGTAGGTGCTGCAGTGGTGGTTGTAGGTGCTGCAGTTGTGGTTGTAGGTGCTGCAGATGTGGTTGTAGGCGCTGCAGTTGTGGTTGTTGGTGCTGAAGTTGTGGTTGTAGGTGCTTCAGTTGTTGTTGCTGGTGCTGCAGTTGTTGTAGGTGCTGCAGTTGTGGTTGTAGGTTCTGCTGTTGTGGTTGTAGGTGCGGCAGTTGTGGTTGTAAGTGCTGCAGTTGTGGTTGTTGGTGCTTCGGTTGTGGTGGTTTGTGCTGCAGTTGTGGTTGTAGGTGCTTCAGTTGCGGTTGTAGGTGCTGCAGTTGTGGTTGTAGGTAATGCAGTTGTGGTTGTAGGTGCTGCAGTTGTGGTTGTAGGAGCTCCAGTCGTGGGTGTTGATGCTGCAGTTGTAGTTGTTGGTGAAGTGGTAGTTGTATGTGCTGCAGTTGTGGTTGTTGGTGCTGCAGTTGTGGTTGTAGGTGCTTCAGTTGCGGTTGTTGGTGCTGCAGTTGTGGTTGTAGGTGCTGCAGTTGTGGTTGTAGGTGCTGCAGTAGTGGTTGTAGATGCTTCAATTGTGGTTGTTGGTGCTGTAGTTGTGGTTGTAGTTGCTGCAGTAGTGGTTGTAGGTGCTGCAGTTGTGGTTGTAGGTGCTGCAGTTGTGGTTGTAGGTGCTGCAGTTGTGGTTGTTGGTGCTGCAGTTGTGGTTGTAGGTGCTGCAGTAGTGGTTGTAGGTGCTTCAATTGTGGTTGTTGGTGCTGCAGTTGTGGTTGTTGGTGCTGCAGTTGTGGTTGTAGGTGCTGCAGTAGTGGTTGTAGGTGCTGCAGTTGTGGTTGTAGGTGCTGCAGTTGTGGTTGTAGGTGCTGCAGTTGTGGTTGTAGGTGCTGCAGTTGTGGTTGTTGGTGCTGCAGTTGTGGTTGTAGGTGCTGCAGTAGTGGTTGTAGGTGCGTCACTTGTGGTTGTTGGTGCTGCAGTTGTGGTTGTTGGTGCTGCAGTTGTGGTTGTAGGTGCTGCAGTAGTGGTTGTAGGTGCTGCAGTAGTGGCTTTAGGTGCTTCAATTGTGGTTGTTGGTGCTGCAGTTGTGGTTGTAGGTGCTGCAGTAGTGGTTGTAGGTGCTGCAGTTGCGGTTGTAGGTGCTGCTGTTGTGGTTGTAGGTGCTGCAGTTGTGGTTGTAGGAGCTGCAGTTGTGGTTGTAGGTGCTGCAGTTGTGGTTTTTGGTGCTGCAGTTGTGGTTGTAGGTGCTTCAGTTGCGGTTGTAGGTGCTGCAGATGTTGTTGTAGGTGCTGTAGTTGTGGTTTTTGGAGCTGCATTTGTGGTTGTAGGTGCTGCAGTAGTGGTTGTAAGTGCTTCAGTTGCGGTTGTTGGTGCTGCAGTTGTGGTTGTAGGTGCTGCAGTTGTGGTTGTTGGTGCTGCAGTTGTGATTGTAGGTGCTTCAGTTGCAGTTGTAGGTGCTGCAGCCGTGGTTGTAGGTGCTGTAGTTGTGGTTTTTGGTGCTGCAGTTGTGGTTGTAGGAGCTGCTGTTGTGGTTGTAGGTGCTGCAGTTGTGGTTGTAGGTGCTGCAGGTGTGGTTGGAGGTGCTTCAGTTGCGGTTGTTGGTGCTGCAGTTGTGGTTTTAGGTGCTGCAGTTGTGGTTGTTGGTGCTGCAGTTGTGGTTGTTGGTGCTGCAGTTGTGGTTGTAGGTGCTGCAGTTGTGGTTTTTGGTGCAGCAGTTGTGGTTGTAGGTGCTTCAGTTGCGGTTGTAGGTGCTGCAGATGTGGTTGTAAGTGCTGTAGTTGTGGTTTTTGGTGCTGCAGTTGTGGTTGTAGGTGCTGCAGTAGTGGTTGTAGGTGCTGCAGTTGTGGTTGTAGGTGCTGCAGTTGTGGTTGTAGGTGCTGCGGTAGTGGTTGTAGGTGCTGCAGTTGTGGTTGCAGGTGCTGCAGTTGTGGTCGTAGGTGCTGCAGTGGTGGTTGTAGGTGCTGTTGTTGTGGTTGTAGGTGCTGCAGTTGTGGTTGTAGGTGCTGAAGTTGTGGTTGTAGGTGCTGCAGTTGTGGTTGTAGGAGCTTCAGTTGTGGTTGTAGGTGCTGCAATCGTGGTTGTTGGTGCTGCAGTTGTGATTGTTGGTGCTTCAGTTGTGGTTGTAGGTGCTGCAGTAGTGGTTGTAGGTGCTGCAGTTGTGGTTGTAGAAGCTTCAGTTGCAGTTGCTGGTGCTGGAGTTGTTGTTGTAGGTGCTGCAGTTGTGGTTGTTGGTGCTGCAGTTGTGGGTGTAGGTGCTGCAGTTGTGCTTGTAGGTGCTGCAGTTGTGGATGGAGGTGTTGCAGTTGTGGTGGTTTGTGCTGAAGTGGTAGTTGTATGTGCTGCAGTTGTGGTTGTTGGTGCTGCAGTTGCGGTTGGAGGTGCTTCAGTTGCTGTTGTTGGTGCTGCAGATGTGGTTGTAGGTGCAAGAGTTGTGGTTTTTGGTGCTGCAGTTGTGGTTGTAGGTGCTGCAGTTGTGGTTGTAGGTGCAGCAGTCGTGGTTGTTGGTGCTGCAATTGTGGTTGTTAGTGCTGCAGTTGTGGTTGTAGGTGCTGCAGTTGTGGTTGTAGGTGCTGCAGTTGTGGTTGTAGGTGCTTCAGTTGCGGTTGGAGGTGCTTCAGTTGCGGTTGTTGGTGCTGCAGTTGTGGTTGTAGGTGCTGCAGTTGTGGTTTTTGGTGCTGCAGTTGTGGTTGTAGGTGCTTCAATTGCGGTTGTAGGTGCTGCAGATGTGGTTGTAGGTGCTGTAGTTGTGGTTTTTGATGCTGTTGTGGTTGTAGGTGCTGCAGTTTTGGTTGGAGGTGCTTCAGTTGCAGTTGTTGCTGCTGCAGTTGTGGTTGTAGGTGCAGCAGTTGTGGTTGTTGGTGCTGCGGTTGTGGCTGTTTGTGCTAAAGTGGTAGTTGTATGTGCTGCAGTTGTGGTTGTTGGTGCTGCAGTTGTGGTTGTAGGTTCTTCAATAGCAAATGTTGTTGCTGCAGTTGTGGTTGTAGGTGCTGCAGTAGTGGTTGTAGGTGCTGCAGTTGTGGTTGTAGAAGCTTCAGTTGCGGTTGCTGGTGCTGCAGTTGTTGTTGCAGGTGCTGCAGTTGTGGTTGTTGGTGCTGCAGTTGTGGTTGTATGTGCTGCAGTTGTGGTTGTAGGTGCTTCAGTTGCTGTTGTAGGTGCTGCAGATGTGGTTGTAGGTGCTGTAGTTGTGGTTTTTGGTGCTGCAGTTGTGGTTGTAGGTGCTGCAGTTGTGGTTGTTGGTGCTGCAGTTGTGGTTGTAGGTGCTGCAGTAGTGGTTGTAGGTGCTTCAATTGTGGTTGTTGGTGCTGCAGTTGTGGTTGTTGGTGCTGCAGTTGTGGTTGTAGGTGCTGCAGTTGTGGTTGTAGGTGCTGCAGTTGTGGTTGTAGGTGCTGCAGTTGTGGTTGTAGGTGCTGCAGTTGTGGTTGTAGGTGCTGCAGTAGTGGTTGTAGGTGCTTCAATTGTGGTTGTTGGTGCTGCAGTTGTGGTTGTTGGTGCTGCAGTTGTGGTTGTAGGTGCTGCAGTAGTGGTTTTAGGTGCTTCAATTGTGGTTGTTGGTGCTGCAGTTGTGGTTGTAGGTGCTGCAGTAGTGGTTGTAGGTGCTGCAGTAGTGGTTGTAGGTGCTGCAGTTGCGGTTGTAGGTGCTGCTGTTGTGGTTGTAGGTGCTGCAGTTGTGGTTGTAGGTGCTGCAGTTGTGGTTTTTGGTGCTGCAGTTGTGGTTGTAGGTGCTTCAGTTGCGGTTGTAGGTGCTGCAGATGTTGTTGTAGGTGCTGTAGTTGTGGTTTTTGGTGCTGCAGTTGTGGTTGTAGGTGCTGCAGTTGTGGTTGTAAGTGCTTCAGTTGCGGTTGTTGGTGCTGCAGTTGTGGTTGTAGGTCCTGCAGTTGTGGTTTTTGGTGCTGCAGTTGTGGTTGTAGGTGCTTCAGTTGCAGTTGTAGGTGCTGCAGCCGTGGTTGTAGGTGCTGCAGCCGTGGTTGTAGGTGCTGTAGTTGTGGTTTTTGGTGCTGCAGTTGTGGTTGTAGGAGCTGCTGTTGTGGTTGTAGGTGCTGCAGTTGTGGTTGTAGGTGCTGCAGTTGTGGTTGGAGGTGCTTCAGTTGCGGTTGTTGGTGCTGCAGTTGTGGTTGTAGGTGCTGCAGTTGTGGTTGTTGGTGCTGCAGTTGTGGTTGTTGGTACTGCAGTTGTGGTTGTAGGTGCTGCAGTTGTGGTTTTTGGTGCAGCAGTTGTGGTTGTAGGTGCTTCAGTTGCGGTTGTAGGTGCTGCAGATGTGGTTGTAAGTGCTGTAGTTGTGGTTTTTGGTGCTGCAGTTGTGGTTGTAGGTGCTGCAGTTGTGGTTGTAGGTGCTGCAGTCGTGGTTGTTGGTGCTGCAGTTGTGGTTGTTGGTGCTGCAGTTGTGGTTGTAGGTGCTGCAGTAGTGGGTGTAGGTGCTTCAATTGTGGTTGTTGGTGCTGCAGTTGTGGTTGTAGGTGCTGCAGTAGTGGTTGTAGGTGCTGCAGTTGTGGTTGTAGGTGCTGCAGTTGCGGTTGTTGGTGCTGCAGTTGTGGTTGTAGGTGCTGCAGTCGTGGTTGTAGGTGCTGCAGTTGTGGTTGTAGGTGCTGCAATTGTGGTTGTTTGTCCTGCGGTTGTGGTGGTTTGTGCTGAAGTGGAAGTTGTATGTGCTGCAGTTGTGGTTGTTGGTGCTGCAGTTGGGGTTGTAGGTGCTTCAGTTGCAGTTGTTGGTGCTAGAGTTGTGGTTGTTGGTGCTGCAGTTGTGGTTGTAGGTGCTGCAGTAGTGGTTTTAGGTGCTTCAATTGTGGTTGTTGGTGCTGCAGTTGTGGTTGTAGGTGCTGCAGTAGTGGTTGTAGGTGCTGCAGTAGTGGTTGTAGATGCTTCAATTGTGGTTGTTGGTGCTGCAGTTGTGGTTGTAGGTGCTGCAGTAGTGGTTGTAGGTGCTGCAGTTGTGGTTGTAGGTGCTGCAGTTGTGGTTGTAGGTGCTGCAGTTGTGGTTGTAGGTGCTGCAGTTGTGGTTGTTGGTGCTGCAGTTGTGGTTGTAGGTGCTGCAGTAGTGGTTGTAGGTGCTTCAATTGTGGTTGTTGGTGCCGCAGTTATGGTTGTTGATGCTGCAGTGTTGGTTGTAGGTGCTGCAGTTGTGGTTGTAGGTGCTGCAGTTGTGGTTGTAGGTGCTGCAGTTGTGGTTGTAGGTGCTGCAGTAGTGGTTGTAGGTGCTTCAATTGTGGTTGTTGGTGCTGCAGTTGTGGTTGTTGGTGCTGCAGTTGTGGTTGTAGGTGCTGCAGTAGTGGTTTTAGGTGCTTCAATTGTGGTTGTTGGTGCTGCAGTTGTGGTTGTAGGTGCTGCAGTAGTGGTTGTAGGTGCTGCAGTAGTGGTTGTAGGTGCTGCAGTTGCGGTTGTAGGTGCTGCTGTTGTGGTTGTAGGTGCTGCAGTTGTGGTTGTAGTTGCTGCAGTTGTGGTTGTAGGTGCTGCAGTTGTGGTTTTTGGTGCTGCAGTTGTGGTTGTAGGTGCTTCAGTTGCGGTTGTAGGTGCTGCAGATGTTGTTGTAGGTGCTGTAGTTGTGGTTTTTGGTGCTGCAGTTGTGGTTGTAGGTGCTGCAGTTGTGGTTGTAAGTGCTTCAGTTGCGGTTGTTGGTGCTGCAGTTGTGGTTGTAGGTGCTGCAGTTGTGGTTGTAGGTGCTTCAGTTGCAGTTGTAGGTGCTGCAGCCGTGGTTGTAGGTGCTGTAGTTGTGGTTTTTGGTGCTGCAGTTGTGGTTGTAGGAGCTGCTGTTGTGGTTGTAGGTGCTGCAGTTGTGGTTGTAGGTGCTGCAGGTGTGGTTGTAGGTGCTTCAGTTGCGGTTGTTGGTGCTGCAGTTGTGGTTGTAGGTGCTGCAGTTGTGGTTGTTGGTGCTGCAGTTGTGGTTGTTGGTGCTGCAGTTGTGCTTGTAGGTGCTGCAGTTGTGGTTTTTGGTGCAGCAGTTGTGGTTGTAGGTGCTTCAGTTGCGGTTGTAGGTGCTGCAGATGTGGTTGTAAGTGCTGTAGTTGTGGTTTTTGGTGCTGCAGTTGTGGTTGTAGGTGCTGCAGTTGTGGTTGTAGGTGCTGCAGTCATGGTTGTTGGTGCTGCAGTTGTGGTTGTTGGTGCTGCAGTTGTGGTTGTAGGTGCTGCAGTAGTGGGTGTGGGTGCTTCAATTGTGGTAGTTGGTGCTGCAGTAGTGGTTGTAGGTGCTGCAGTTGTGGTTGTAGGTGCTGCAGTTGCGGTTGTTGGTGCTGCAGTTGTGGTTGTAGGTGCTGCAGTCGTGGTTGTAGGTGCTGCAGTTGTGGTTGTAGGTGCTGCAATTGTGGTTGTTTGTCCTGCGGTTGTGGTGGTTTGTGCTGAAGTGGAAGTTGTATGTGCTGCAGTTGTGGTTGTTGGTGCTGCAGTTGGGGTTGTAGGTGCTTCAGTTGCAGTTGTTGGTGCTAGAGTTGTGGTTGTTGGTGCTGCAGTTGTGGTTGTAGGTGCTGCAGTAGTGGTTTTAGGTGCTTCAATTGTGGTTGTTGGTGCTGCAGTTGTGGTTGTAGGTGCTGCAGTAGTGGTTGTAGGTGCTGCAGTAGTGGTTGTAGGTGCTGCAGTTGCGGTTGTAGGTGCTGCTGTTGTGGTTGTAGGTGCTGCAGGTGTGGTTGGAGGTGCTTCAGTTGCGGTTGTTGGTGCTGCAGTTGTGGTTGTAGGTGCTGCAGTTGTGGTTGTTGGTGCTGCAGTTGTGGTTGTTGGTGCTGCAGTTGTGGTTGTATGTGCTGCAGTAGTGGTTGTAGATGCTTCAATTGTGGTTGTTGGTGCTGCAGTTGTGGTTGTAGGTGCTGCAGTAGTGGTTGTAGGTGCTGCAGTTGTGGTTGTAGGTGCTGCAGTTGTGGTTGTAGGTGCTGCAGTTGTGGTTGTAGGTGCTGCAGTTGTGGTTGTTTGTGCTGCAGTTGTGGTTGTAGGTGCTGCAGTAGTGGTTGTAGGTGCTTCAATTGTGGTTGTTGGTGCTGCAGTTGTGGTTGTTGGTGCTGCAGTTGTGGTTGTAGGTGCTGCAGTTGTGGTTGTAGGTGCTGCAGTTGTGGTTGTAGGTGCTGCAGTTGTGGTTGTAGGTGCTGCAGTTGTGGTTGTAGGTGCTGCAGTAGTGGTTGTAGGTGCTTCAATTGTGGTTGTTGGTGCTGCAGTTGTGGTTGTTGGTGCTTCAGTTGTGGTTGTAGGTGCTGCAGTAGTGGTTTTAGGTGCTTCAATTGTGGTTGTTGGTGCTGCAGTTGTGGTTGTAGGTGCTGCAGTAGTGGTTGTAGGTGCTGCAGTAGTGGTTGTAGGTGCTGCAGTTGCGGTTGTAGGTGCTGCTGTTGTGGTTGTAGGTGCTGCAGTTGTGGTTGTAGGTGCTGCAGTTGTGGTTGTAGGTGCTGCAGTTGTGGTTTTTGGTGCTGCAGTTGTGGTTGTAGGTGCTTCAGTTGCGGTTGTAGGTGCTGCAGATAATGTTGTAGGTGCTGTAGTTGTGGTTTTTGGTGCTGCAGTTGTGGTTGTAGGTGCTGCAGTTGTGGTTGTATGTGCTTCAGTTGCGGTTGTTGGTGCTGCAGTTGTGGTTGTAGGTGCTGCAGTTGTGGTTTTTTGTGCTGCAGTTGTGGTTGTAGGTGCTTCAGTTGCAGTTGTAGGTGCTGCAGCCATGGTTGTAGGTGCTGTAGTTGTGGTTTTTGGTGCTGCAGTTGTGGTTGTAGGAGCTGCTGTTGAGGTTCTAGGTGCTGCAGTTGTGGTTGTAGGTGCTGCAGGTGTGGTTGGAGGTGCTGCAGTTGCGGTTGTTGGTGCTGTTGTTGTGGTTGTTGGTGCTGCAGTTGTGGTTGTTGGTGCTGCAGTTGTGGTTGTAGGTGCTGCAGTTGTGGTTTTTGGTGCAGCAGTTGTGGTTGTAGGTGCTTCAGTTGCGGTTGTAGGTGCTGCAGATGTGGTTGTAAGTGCTGTAGTTGTGGTTTTTGGTGCTGCAGTTGTGGTTGTAGGTGCTGCAGTTGTGGTTGTAGGTGCTGCAGTCGTGGTTGTTGGTGCTGCAGTTGTGGTTGTTGGTGCTGCAGTTGTGGTTGTAGGTGCTGCAGTAGTGGGTGTAGGTGCTTCAATTGTGGTTGTTGGTGCTGCAGTTGTGGTTGTAGGTGCTGCAGTAGTGGTTGTCGGTGCTGCAGTTGTGGTTGTAGGTGCTGCAGTTGCGGTTGTTGGTGCTGCAGTTGTGGTTGTAGGTGCTGCAGTCGTGGTTGTAGGTGCTGCAGTTGTGGTTGTAGGTGCTGCAATTGTGGTTGTTTGTCCTGCGGTTGTGGTGGTTTGTGCTGAAGTGGAAGTTGTATGTGCTGCAGTTGGGGTTGTAGGTGCTTCAGTTGCAGTTGTTGGTGCTGCAGTTGTGGTTGTCGGTGCTGCAGTTGTGGTTGTAGGTGCTGCAGTAGTGGTTTTAGGTGCTTCAATTGTGGTTGTTGGTGCTGCAGTTGTGGTTGTAGGTGCTGCAGTAGTGGTTGTAGGTGCTGCAGTAGTGGTTGTAGGTGCTGCAGTTGCGGTTGTAGGTGCTGCTGTTGTGGTTGTAGGTGCTGCAGGTGTGGTTGGAGGTGCTTCAGTTGCGGTTGTTGGTGCTGCAGTTGTGGTTGTAGGTGCTGCAGTTGTGGTTGTTGGTGCTGCAGTTGTGGTTGTAGGTGCTGCAGTTGTGGTTGTAGGTGCTGCAGTTGTGGTTGTAGGTGCTGCAGTTGTGGTTGTAGGTGCTGCAGTAGTGGTTATAGGTGCTTCAATTGTGGTTGTTGGTGCTGCAGTTGTGGTTGTTGGTGCTTCAGTTGTGGTTGTAGGTGCTGCAGTAGTGGTTTTAGGTGCTTCAATTGTGGTTGTTGGTGCTGCAGTTGTGGTTGTAGGTGCTGCAGTAGTGGTTGTAGGTGCTGCAGTAGTGGTTGTAGGTGCTGCAGTTGCGGTTGTAGGTGCTGCTGTTGTGGTTGTAGGTGCTGCAGTTGTGGTTGTAGGTGCTGCAGTTGTGGTTTTTGGTGCTGCAGTTGTGGTTGTAGGTGCTTCAGTTGCGGTTGTAGGTGCTGCAGATGTTGTTGTAGGTGCTGTAGTTGTGGTTTTTGGTGCTGCAGTTGTGGTTGTAGGTGCTGCAGTTGTGGTTGTAAGTGCTTCAGTTGCGGTTGTTGGTGCTGCAGTTGTGGTTGTAGGTGCTGCAGTTGTGGTTTTTGGTGCTGCAGTTGTGGTTGTAGGTGCTTCAGTTGCAGTTGTAGGTGCTGCAGCCGTGGTTGTAGGTGCTGTAGTTGTGGTTTTTGGTGCTGCAGTTGTGGTTGTAGGAGCTGCTGTTGTGGTTGTAGGTGCTGCAGTTGTGGTTGTAGGTGCTGCAGGTGTGGTTGGAGGTGCTTCAGTTGCGGTTGTTGGTGCTGCAGTTGTGGTTGTAGGTGCTGCAGTTGTGGTTGTTGGTGCTGCAGTTGTGGTTGTTGGTGCTGCAGTTGTGGTTGTAGGTGCTGCAGTTGTGGTTTTTGGTGCAGCAGTTGTGGTTGTAGGTGCTTCAGTTGCGGTTGTAGGTGCTGCAGATGTGGTTGTAAGTTCTGTAGTTGTGGTTTTTGGTGCTGCAGTTGTGGTTGTAGGTGCTGCAGTTGTGGTTGTAGGTGCTGCAGTCGTGGTTGTTGGTGCTGCAGTTGTGGTTGTTGGTGCTGCAGTTGTGGTTGTAGGTGCTGCAGTAGTGGGTGTAGGTGCTTCAATTGTGGTTGTTGGTGCTGCAGTTGTGGTTGTAGGTGCTGCAGTAGTGGTTGTAGGTGCTGCAGTTGTGGTTGTAGGTGCTGCAGTTGTGGTTGTAGGTGCTGCAGTTGCGGTTGTAGGTGCTGCTGTTGTGGTTGTAGCTGCTGCAGTTGTGGTTGTAGGTGCTGCAGTTGTGGTTGTAGGTGCTGCAGTTGTGGTTTTTGGTGCTGCAGTTGTGGTTGTAGGTGCTTCAGTTGCGGTTGTAGGTGCTGCAGATGTGGTTGTAGGTGCTGTAGTTGTGGTTTTTGGTGCTGCAGTTGTGGTTGTAGGTGCTGCAGTTGTGGTTTTTGGTGCTGCAGTTGTGGTTGTAGGTGCTTCAGTTGTGGTTGTAGGTGCTGCAATCGTGGTTGTTGGTGCTGCAGTTGTGATTCTTGGTGCTGCAGTTGTGGTTGTAGGTGCTGCAGTAGTGGTTGTAGGTGCTTCAATTGTGGTTGTTGGTGCTGCAGTTGTGGTTGTAGGTGCTGCAGTGGTGGTTGTAGGTGCTGCAGTTGTGGTTGTAGGTGCTGCAGATGTGGTTGTAGGCGCTGCAGTTGTGGTTGTTGGTGCTGAAGTTGTGGTTGTAGGTGCTTCAGTTGTTGTTGCTGGTGCTGCAGTTGTTGTAGGTGCTGCAGTTGTGGTTGTAGGTTCTGCTGTTGTGGTTGTAGGTGCGGCAGTTGTGGTTGTAAGTGCTGCAGTTGTGGTTGTTGGTGCTTCGGTTGTGGTGGTTTGTGCTGCAGTTGTGGTTGTAGGTGCTTCAGTTGCGGTTGTAGGTGCTGCAGTTGTGGTTGTAGGTAATGCAGTTGTGGTTGTAGGTGCTGCAGTTGTGGTTGTAGGAGCTCCAGTCGTGGGTGTTGATGCTGCAGTTGTAGTTGTTGGTGAAGTGGTAGTTGTATGTGCTGCAGTTGTGGTTGTTGGTGCTGCAGTTGTGGTTGTAGGTGCTTCAGTTGCGGTTGTTGGTGCTGCAGTTGTGGTTGTAGGTGCTGCAGTTGTGGTTGTAGGTGCTGCAGTAGTGGTTGTAGATGCTTCAATTGTGGTTGTTGGTGCTGTAGTTGTGGTTGTAGTTGCTGCAGTAGTGGTTGTAGGTGCTGCAGTTGTGGTTGTAGGTGCTGCAGTTGTGGTTGTAGGTGCTGCAGTTGTGGTTGTTGGTGCTGCAGTTGTGGTTGTAGGTGCTGCAGTAGTGGTTGTAGGTGCTTCAATTGTGGTTGTTGGTGCTGCAGTTGTGGTTGTTGGTGCTGCAGTTGTGGTTGTAGGTGCTGCAGTAGTGGTTGTAGGTGCTGCAGTTGTGGTTGTAGGTGCTGCAGTTGTGGTTGTAGGTGCTGCAGTTGTGGTTGTAGGTGCTGCAGTTGTGGTTGTTGGTGCTGCAGTTGTGGTTGTAGGTGCTGCAGTAGTGGTTGTAGGTGCGTCACTTGTGGTTGTTGGTGCTGCAGTTGTGGTTGTTGGTGCTGCAGTTGTGGTTGTAGGTGCTGCAGTAGTGGTTGTAGGTGCTGCAGTAGTGGCTTTAGGTGCTTCAATTGTGGTTGTTGGTGCTGCAGTTGTGGTTGTAGGTGCTGCAGTAGTGGTTGTAGGTGCTGCAGTTGCGGTTGTAGGTGCTGCTGTTGTGGTTGTAGGTGCTGCAGTTGTGGTTGTAGGAGCTGCAGTTGTGGTTGTAGGTGCTGCAGTTGTGGTTTTTGGTGCTGCAGTTGTGGTTGTAGGTGCTTCAGTTGCGGTTGTAGGTGCTGCAGATGTTGTTGTAGGTGCTGTAGTTGTGGTTTTTGGAGCTGCATTTGTGGTTGTAGGTGCTGCAGTAGTGGTTGTAAGTGCTTCAGTTGCGGTTGTTGGTGCTGCAGTTGTGGTTGTAGGTGCTGCAGTTGTGGTTGTTGGTGCTGCAGTTGTGATTGTAGGTGCTTCAGTTGCAGTTGTAGGTGCTGCAGCCGTGGTTGTAGGTGCTGTAGTTGTGGTTTTTGGTGCTGCAGTTGTGGTTGTAGGAGCTGCTGTTGTGGTTGTAGGTGCTGCAGTTGTGGTTGTAGGTGCTGCAGGTGTGGTTGGAGGTGCTTCAGTTGCGGTTGTTGGTGCTGCAGTTGTGGTTTTAGGTGCTGCAGTTGTGGTTGTTGGTGCTGCAGTTGTGGTTGTTGGTGCTGCAGTTGTGGTTGTAGGTGCTGCAGTTGTGGTTTTTGGTGCAGCAGTTGTGGTTGTAGGTGCTTCAGTTGCGGTTGTAGGTGCTGCAGATGTGGTTGTAAGTGCTGTAGTTGTGGTTTTTGGTGCTGCAGTTGTGGTTGTAGGTGCTGCAGTCGTGGTTGTTGGTGCTGCAGTTGTGGTTGTTGGTGCTGCAGTTGTGGTTGTAGGTGCTGCAGTAGTGGGTGTAGGTGCTTCAATAGTGGTTGTTGGTGCTGCAGTTGTGGTTGTAGGTGCTGCAGTAGTGGTTGTAGGTGCTGCAGTTGTGGTTGTAGGTGCTGCAGTTGTGGTTGTAGGTTCTAGAGTTGCGGTTGTAGGTGCTGCTGTTGTGGTTGTAGCTGCTGCAGTTGTGGTTGTAGGTGCTGCAGTTGTGGTTGTAGGTGCTGCAGTTGTGGTTTTTGGTGCTGCAGTTGTGGTTTTTGGTGCTGCAGTTGTGGTTGTAGGTGCTTCAGTTGCGGTTGTAGGTGCTGCAGATGTGGTTGTAGGTGCTGTAGTTGTGGTTTTTGGTGCTGCAGTTGTGGCTGTAGGTGCTGCAGTTGTGGTTTTTGGTGCTGCAGTTGTGGTTGTAGGTGCTTCAGTTGTGGTTGTAGGTGCTGCAATCGTGGTTGTTGGTGCTGCAGTTGTGATTCTTGGTGCTAAAGTTGTGGTTGTAGGTGCTGCAGTAGTGGTTGTAGGTGCTTCAATTGTGGTTGTTGGTGCTGCAGTTGTGGTTGTAGGTGCTGCAGTGGTGGTTGTAGGTGCTGCAGTTGTGGTTGTAGGTGCTGCAGATGTGGTTGTAGGCGCTGCAGTTGTGGTTGTTGGTGCTGCAGTTGTGATTCTTGGTGCTGCAGTTGTGGTTGTAGGTGCTGCAGTAGTGGTTGTAGGTGCTTCAATTGTGGTTGAAGGTGCTTCAGTTGTGGCTGTTGGTGCTGCAGTTGTGGTTGTAGGTGCTGCAGATGTGGTTGTAGGTGCTGCAGTTGTGGTTGTAGGTGCTGCAGTAGTGGTTGTAGGTGCTTCAATTGTGGTTGTTGGTGCTGCAGTTGTGGTTGTAGGTGCTGCAGTTGTGGTTGTAGGTTCTGCTGTTGTGGTTGTAGGTGCGGCAGTTGTGGTTGTAAGTGCTGCAGTTGTGGTTGTTGGTGCTTCGGTTGTGGTGGTTTGTGCTGCAGTTGTGGTTGTAGGTGCTTCAGTTGCGGTTGTAGGTGCTGCAGTTGTGGTTGTAGGTAATGCAGTTGTGGTTGTAGGTGCTGCAGTTGTGGTTGTAGGAGCTCCAGTCGTGGGTGTTGATGCTGCAGATGTAGTTGTTGGTGAAGTGGTAGTTGTATGTGCTGCAGTTGTGGTTGTTGGTGCTGCAGTTGTGGTTGTAGGTGCTTCAGTTGCGGTTGTTGGTGCTGCAGTTGTGGTTGTAGGTGCTGCAGTTGTGGTTGTAGGTGCCGCAGTTGTGGTTGTAGGTGCTGCAGTTGTGTTGGTAGGCGCTGCACTTGTGGTTGTAGGTGGTGCAGTTGTGGTTGTAGGTGCTGCAGTCGTGGTTGTAGGTGGTGCAGTTGTGGTTGTTGGTGCTGCAGTTGGGGTTGTAGGTGCTGCACTTGTGGTCGTAGGTGCTGCAGTTGGGGTTGTAGGTGTGTCAGTTGCAGTTGTTGGTGCTGCAGCTGTGGTTGTAGGTGCTGCAGTTGTGGTTGTAGGTGCTGCAGTTGTGGATGTAGGTATTGCAGTTGAGGTGGTTTGTGCTGAAGTGGTAGTTGTATGTGATGCAGTTGTGGTTGTTGGTGCTGCAGTTGTGGTTGTAGGTGCTGCAGTTGTGGTTTTTGGTGCCGCAGTTGTGGTTGTAGGTGCTTCAGTTGCGGTTGTAGGTGCTGCAGATGTGGTTGTAGGGGCTGTAGTTGTGGTTTTTGGTGCTGCAGTTGTGGTTGTAGGTGCTGCAGTTGTGGTTGTAGGTGCTGCAGTTGTGGTTGTAGGTGCTTCAGTTGCGGTTGTAGGTGCTGCAGATGTGGTTGTAGGTGCTGTAGTTGTGGTTTTTGGTGCTGCAGATGTGGTTGTAGGTGCTGCAGTTGTGGTTGTAAGTGCTTCAGTTGCGGTTGTTGGTGCTGCAGTTGTGGTTGTAGGTGCTGCAGTTGTGGTTGGAGGTGCTTCAGTTGCAGTTGTTGGTGCTGCAGTTGTGGTTGTAGGTGCTGCAGTTTTGGTTGTTGATGCTGCGGTTGTGGTGGTTTGTGCTGAAGTGGTAATTGTATGTGCTGTGGTTGTAGGTGCTGCAGTAGAGGTTGTAGGTGCTGCAGTTGTGGTTGTAGAAGCTTCAGTTGCGGTTGCTGGTGCTGCAGTTGTTGTTTTTGGTGCCGCAGTTGTGGTTGTAGGTGCTTCAGTTGGGGTTGTAGGTGCTGCAGATGTGGTTGTAGGTGCTGTAGTTGTGGTTTTTGGTGCTGCAGTTGTGGTTGTAGGTGCTGCAGTCGTGGTTGTTGGTGCTGCAGTTGTGGTTGTTGGTGCTGCAGTAGTGGTTGTAGGTGCTTCAATTGTGGTTGTTGGTGCTGCAGTTGTGGTTGTAGGTGCTGCAGTAGTGGTTGTAGGTGCTGCAGTTGTGGTTGTAGGTGCTGCAGTTGCGGTTGTAGGTGCTGCTGTTGTGGTTGTAGGTGCTGCAGTTGTGGTTGTAGGTGCTGCAGTTGTGGTTGTAGGTGCTGCAGTTGTGGTTTTTGGTGCTGCAGTTGTGGTTGTAGGTGCTTCAGTTGCGGTTGTAGGTGCTGCAGATGTGGTTGTAGGTGCTGTAGTTGTGGTTTTTGGTGCTGCAGTTGTGGTTGTAGGTGCTGCAGTTGTGGTTGTAAGTGCTTCAGTTGCGGTTGTTGGTGCTGCAGTTGTGGTTGTAGGTGCTGCAGTTGTGGTTTTTGGTGCTGCAGTTGTGGTTGTAGGTGCTTCAGTTATGGTTGTAGGTGCTGCAATCGTGGTTGTTGGTGCTGCAGTTGTGATTGTTGGTGCTGCAGTTGTGGTTGTAGGTGCTGCAGTAGTGGTTGTAGGTGCTTCAATTGTGGTTGTTGGTGCTGCAGTTGTGGTTGTAGGTGCTGCAGTAGTGGTTGTAGGTGCTGCAGTTGTGGTTGTAGGTGCTGCAGTTGTGGTTGTAGGTGCTGCAATTGCGGTTGTAGGTGCTGCTGTTGTGGTTGTAGGTGCTGCAGTTGTGGAGGTAGGTGCTGCAGTTGTGGTTGTAGGTGCTGCAGTTGTGGTTTTTGGTGCTGCAGTTGTGGTTGTAGGTGCTGCAGTTGTGGTTGTAGGTGCTTCAGTTGCCGTTGTAGGTGCTGCAGATGTGGTTGTAGGTGCTGTAGTTGTGGTTTTTGGTGCTGCAGTTGTGGTTGTAGGTGCTGCAGGTGGGGTTGTAAGTGCTTCAGTTGCGGTTGTTGGTGCTGCAGTTGTGGTTGTAGGTGCTGCAGTTGTGGTTTTTGGTGCTGCAGTTCTGGTTGTAGGTGCTTCAGTTGCAGTTGTAGGTGCTGCAGCAGTGGTTGTAGGTGCTGTAGTTGTGGTTTTTGGTGCTGCAGTTGTGGTTGTAGGAGATGCTGTTGTGGTTGTAGGTGCTGCAGTTGTGGTTGTAGGTGCTGCAGTTGTGGTTGGAGGTGCTTCAGTTGCGGTTGTTGGTGCTGCAGTTGTGGTTGTAGGTGCTGCAGTAGTGGTTGTAGGTGCTGCAGTTGTGGTTGTAGAAGCTTCAGTTGCGGTTGCTGGTGCTGCAGTTGTTGTTGTAGGTGCTGCAGTTGTGGTTGTTGGTGCTGCAGTTGTGGTTGTAGGTGCTGCAGTTGTGGTTATTGGTGACGCAGTTGTGGTTGTAGGTGCTTCAGTTGCGGTTGTAGGTGCTGCAGATGTGGTTGTAGGTGCTGTAGTTGTGGTTTTTGGTGCTGCAGTTGTGGTTGTAGGTGCTGCAGTTGTGGTTGTAAGTGCTTCAGTTACGGTTGTTGGTGCTGCAGTTGTGGTTGTAGGTGCTGCAGTTGTGGTTGTAGGTGCTGCAGTTGCAGTTGTTGGTGCTGCAGTTGTGGTTGTAGGTGCTGCAGTTGTGGTTGTTGGTGCTGCGGTTGTGGTGGTTTGTGCTGAAGTGGTAGTTGTATGTGCTGCAGTTGTGGTTGTAGGTGCTGCAGTAGTGGTTGTAGGTGCTGCAGTTGTGGTTGTAGAAGCTTCAGTTGCGGTTGCTGGTGCTGCAGTTGTTGTTTTAGGTGCTGCAGTTGTGGTTGTTGGTGCTGCAGTTGTGGTTGTATGTGCTGCAGTTGTGGTTTTTGGTGTTGCAGTTGTGGTTGTAGGTGCTTCAGGTGGGGTTGTAGGTGCTTCAGGTGGGGTTGTAGGTGCTGCAGATGTGGTTGTAGGTGCTGTAGTTGTGGTTTTTGGTGCTGCAGTTGTGGTTGTTGGTGCTGCAGTTGTGGTTGTAGGTGCTGCAGTTGTGGTTGGAGGTGCTTCAGTTGCAGTTGTTGGTGCTGCAGTTGTGGTTGTAGGTGCTGCAGTTGTGGTTGTTGGTGCTGCGGTTGTGGTGGTTTGTGCTGAAGTGGTAGTTGTATGTGCTGCAGTTGTGGTTGTAGGTGCTGCAGTAGTGGTTGTAGGTGCTGCAGTTGTGGTTGTAGAAGCTTCAGTTGCGGTTGCTGGTGCTGCAGTTGTTGTTTTAGGTGCTGCATTTGTGGTTGTTGGTGCTGCAGTTGTGGTTGTATGTGCTGCAGTTGTGGTTTTTGGTGCCGCAGTTGTGGTTGTAGGTGCATCAGTTGGGGTTGTAGGTGCTGCAGATGTGGTTGTAGGTGCTGTAGTTGTGGTTTTTGGTGCTGCAGTTGTGGTTGTAGGTGCTGCAGTTGTGGTTGTAGGTGCTGCAGTCGTGGTTGTTGGTGCTGCAGTTGTGGTTGTTGGTGCTGCAGTAGTGGTTGTAGGTGCTTCAGTTGGGGTTGTAGGTGCTGCAGATGTGGTTGTAGGTGCTGTAGTTGTGGTTTTTGGTGCTGCAGTTGTGGTTGTAGGTGCTGCAGTAGTGGTTGTAGGTGCTTCAATTGTGGTTGTTGGTGCTGCAGTTGTGGTTGTAGGTGCTGCAGTAGTGGTTGTAGGTGCTGCAGTTGTGGTTGTAGGTGCTGCAGTTGCGGTTGTAGGTGCTGCTGTTGTGGTTGTAGGTGCTGCAGTTGTGGTTGTAGGTGCTGCAGTTGTGGTTGTAGGTGCTGCAGTTGTGGTTTTTGGTGCTGCAGTTGTGGTTGTAGGTGCTTCAGTTGCGGTTGTAGGTGCTGCAGATGTGGTTGTAGGTGCTGTAGTTGTGGTTTTTGGTGCTGCAGTTGTGGTTGTAGGTGCTGCAGTTGTGGTTGTAAGTGCTTCAGTTGCGGTTGTTGGTGCTGCAGTTGTGGTTGTAGGTGCTGCAGTTGTGGTTTTTGGTGCTGCAGTTGTGGTTGTAGGTGCTTCAGTTGTGGTTGTAGGTGCTGCAATCGTGGTTGTTGGTGCTGCAGTTGTGATTGTTGGTGCTGCAGTTGTGGTTGTAGGTGCTGCAGTAGTGGTTGTAGGTGCTGCAGTTGTGGTTGTAGGTGCTGCAGTTGTGGTTGTATGTGCTGCAGTTGTGGTTTTTGGTGCCGCAGTTGTGGTTGTAGGTGCATCAGTTGTGGTTGTAGGTGCTGCAGATGTGGTTGTAGGTGCTGTAGTTGTGGTTTTTGGTGCTGCAGTTGTGGTTGTAGGTGCTGCAGTTGTGGTTGTAGGTGCTGCAGTCGTGGTTGTTGGTGCTGCAGTTGTGGTTGTTGGTGCTGCAGTAGTGGTTGTAGGTGCTTCAATTGTGGTTGTTCGTGCTGCAGTTGTGGTTGTAGGTGCTGCAGTAGTGGTTGTAGGTGCTGCAGTTGTGGTTGTAGGTGCTGCAGTTGCGGTTGTAGGTGCTGCTGTTGTGGTTGTAGGTGCTGCAGTTGTGGTTGTAGGTGCTGCAGTTGTGGTTTTTGGTGCTGCAGTTGTGGTTGTAGGTGCTTCAGTTGCGGTTGTAGGTGCTGCAGATGTGGTTGTAGGTGCTGTAGTTGTGGTTTTTGGTGCTGAAGTTGTGGTTGTAGGTGCTGCAGTTGTGGTTGTAAGTGCTCCAGTTGCGGTTGTTGGTGCTGCAGTTGTGGTTGTAGGTGCTGCAGTTGTGGTTTTTGGTGCTGCAGTTGTGGTTGTAGGTGCTTCAGTTGTGGTTGTAGGTGCTGCAATCGTGGTTCTTGGTGCTGCAGTTGTGATTGTTGGTGCTGCAGTTGTGGTTGTAGGTGCTGCAGTAGTGGTTGTAGGTGCTTCAGTTGTGGTTGTTGGTGCTGCAGTTGTGGTTGTAGGTGCTGCAGTAGTGGTTGTAGGTGCTCCAGTTGTGGTTGTAGGTGCTGCAGTTGTGGTTGTAGGTGCTGCAATTGCGGTTGTAGGTGCTGCAATTGCGGTTGTAGGTGCTTCTGTTGTGGTTGTAGGTGCTGCAGTTGTGGTTGTAGGTGCTGCAGTTGTGGTTGTAGGTGCTGCAGTTGTGGTTGTAGGTGCTGCAGTTGTGGTTGTAGGTGCTTCAGTTGCAGTTGTAGGTGCTGCAGATGTGGTTGTAGGCGCTGTAGTTGTGCTTTTTGGTGCTGCAGTTGTGGTTGTAGGTGCTGCAGTTGGGGTTGTAAGTGCTTCAGTTGCGGTTGTTGGTGCTGCAGTTGTGGTTGTAGGTGCTGCAGTTGTGGTTTTTGGTGCTGCAGTTGTGGTTGTAGGTGCTGCAGTTGTGGTTGTAAGTGCTTCAGTTGCGGTTGTTGGTGCTGCAGTTGTGGTTGTAGGTGCTGCAGTTGTGGTTTTTGGTGCTGCAGTTGTGGTTGTAGGTGCTTCAGTTATGGTTGTAGGTGCTGCAATCGTGGTTGTTGGTGCTGAAGTTGTGATTGTTGGTGCTGCAGTTGTGGTTGTAGGTGCTGCAGTAGTGGTTGTAGGTGCTTCAATTGTGGTTGTTGGTGCTGCAGTTGTGGTTGTAGGTGCTGCAGTAGTGGTTGTAGGTGCTGCAGTTGTGGTTGTAGGTGCTGCAGTTGTGGTTGTAGGTGCTGCAATTGCGGTTGTAGGTGCTGCTGTTGTGGTTGTAGGTGCTGCAGTTGTGGAGGTAGGTGCTGCAGTTGTGGTTGTAGGTGCTGCAGTTGTGGTTTTTGGTGCTGCAGTTGTGGTTGTAGGTGCTGCAGTTGTGGTTGTAGGTGCTTCAGTTGCAGTTGTAGGTGCTGCAGATGTGGTTGTAGGTGCTGTAGTTGTGGTTTTTGGTGCTGCAGTTGTGGTTGTAGGTGCTGCAGGTGGGGTTGTAAGTGCTTCAGTTGCGGTTGTTGGTGCTGCAGTTGTGGTTGTAGGTGCTGCAGTTGTGGTTTTTGGTGCTGCAGTTCTGGTTGTAGGTGCTTCAGTTGCAGTTGTAGGTGCTGCAGCAGTTGTTGTAGGTGCTGTAGTCGTGGTTTTTGGTGCTGCAGTTGTGGTTGTAGGAGATGCTGTTGTGGTTGTAGGTGCTGCAGTTGTGGTTGTAGGTGCTGCAGTTGTGGTTGGAGGTGCTTCAGTTGCGGTTGTTGGTGCTGCAGTTGTGGTTGTAGGTGCTGCAGTAGTGGTTGTAGGTGCTGCAGTTGTGGTTGTAGAAGCTTCAGTTGTGGTTGCTGGTGCTGCAGTTGTTGTTGTAGGTGCTGCAGTTGTGGTTGTTGGTGCTGCAGTAGTGGTTGTAGGTGCTGCAGTTGTGGTTTTTGGTGCCGCAGTTGTGGTTGTAGGTGCTTCAGTTGCGGTTGTAGGTGCTGCAGATGTGGTTGTAGGTGCTGTAGTTGTGGTTTTTGGTGCTGCAGTTGTGGTTGTAGGTGCTGCAGTTGTGGTTGTAGGTGCTGCAGTCGTGGTTGTTGGTGCTGCAGTTGTGGTTGTTGGTGCTGCAGTTGTGGTTGTAGGTGCTGCAGTAGTGGTTGTAGGTGCTGCAGTAGTGGTTGTAGGTGCTTCAATTGTGGTTGTTGGTGCTGCAGTTGTGGTTGTAGGTGCTGCAGTAGTGGTTGTAGGTGCTGCAGTTGCGGTTGTAGGTGCTGCTGTTGTGGTTGTAGGTGCTGCAGTTGTAGTTGTAGGTGCTGCAGTTGTGGTTTTTGGTGCTGCAGTTGTGGTTTTTGGTGCTGCAGTTGTGGTTGTAGGCGCTTCAGTTGCGGTTGTAGGTGCTGCAGATGTTGTTGTAGGTGCTGTAGTTGTGGTTTTAGGTGCTGCAGTTGTGGTTGTTTGTGTGTCAGTTGTGGTTGTAGGTGCTGCAGTTGTGGTTGTTGGTGCTGCCGTTGTGGTGGTTTGTGCTGAAGTGGTAGTTGTATGTGCTGCAGTTGTGGTTGTTGGTGCTGCAGTTGTGGTTGTAGGTGCTTCAATAGCAGTTGTTGGTGCTGCAGTTGTGGTTGAAGGTGCTGCAGTAGTGGTTGTAGGTGCTGCAGTTGCGGTTGTAGGTGCTTCAGTTGCAGTTGTTGGTGCTGCAGATGTGGTTGTAGGCGCTGCAGTTGTGGTTGTTGGTGCTGAAGTTGTGGTTGTAGGTGCTTCAGTTGTGGTTGCTGGTGCTGCAGTTGTGGTTGTAGGTGCTGCAGTTGTGGTTGTAAGTTCTGCATTTGTGGTTGTAGGTGCGGCAGTTGTTGTTGTAAGTGCACCAGTTGTGGCTGTAGGTACTGCAGTAGTGGGTATAGGTGCTACAGTTGTGGTTGTAGGTGCTTCAGATGCGGTTGTAGGTACTGCAGTTGTGGTTGTAGGTGCTGCAGTTGTGGTTGTAGGTGCTGCTGTTGTGGTTTTAGGTGCTGCAGTTGTGTTGGTAGGTGCTGCACTTGTGGTTGTAGGTGTCGCAGTTGTGGTTGTAGGTGCTGCAGTTGTGGTTGTAGGTGCTGCAGTTGTGGTTGTTGGTGCTGCGGTTGTGGTGGTATGTGCTGAAGTGGAAGTTGTATGTGCTGCAGTTGTGGTTGTTGGCCCTGCAGTTGTTGGCCTTGCAGTTGTTGGCGCTCCAGTTGATATCGTTGGTGCTGCAGTTGTGGTTGCTGGTGCTGCAGTTGTGGTTGCTGGTGTTGCAGTTGTGGTTGCTGGTGCTGCAGTTGTGGTTCTTGGTCCTGCAGTTGTGGTTGTTGGTCCTGCAGTTGAGGTTGTTGGTCCTGCAGTTGTGGTTGTTGGTCCTGCAATTGTGGTTGTTTGTAATGCAGTTCTTGTCATTGGTGCTGCAGTTGTTTTTGTCAGAGCCACTGTGGTCAGTGTTGTGGCTAGTTGACTGTTGCACAGGCCTGTTACACAGCAGCTTGGCCCACTGGTTATATTACCAACCTTTTGCATGAATGGAAGACTACCCAGGTATTTTGCAGTCATACATGTAATTGGCGTTATGCAGCCCATTGCTTCTGATGTTGTGGTTCCATCAGTCACTGTACATATTAAAAACAGAATTTCAATATAAAAAGACTTTCTTTACAACTATTTATAATTATCAACTCAGCTGCATTTTTAAACATTTTCCTGTGTTTAAAATAACATTTTCTCAAGAAAACATGCGGATAGTGTTCATTTATCTAATGTTAGTAAACACAATGCTTTCTGGAAAAAACATTTTTTGTTTCACTTTTCACATGTTTCTGTTTCTTCTCTCTTTTGACTCAATTGTTAAAAAAATATATTGTTTATCCAGACAAAAAAATAAAATAAAACAATAAATACAATTACTTACCAGTAGCTGAGAAGCAGTTTGTTTCTTCTCCCGAACACTGTATACTTGGAGTTGTGCACTGGGGATTGGTTGGGTCACAAATGTAACAGCTTAAGCTGTTGGGACTTTGGCTACTGGGTACTAAAATACATAAAAATGTTTTTTTTATTGAACATCCATTTGATCTTTATAAACACTGGGACCCTTTTTTGTTAAACTCACCAGGTAGTAACTGTGAATTGCAGTTGTCAGTGTTACAGCAACTAGCAGATGCTATTGCCGATGCAACCCCTATGTTGACAGAAAATGTCTGATTGCCTGTGCCTGGGCACAGGGATGATGGTGCACAGTCCATGTAAATTTGCGATCCTGTTGTTGAAGATGAAGTGGCTGCAGAGTAAGCATTCAAGTTAAATGGTAAATGGCCTATACTTGATTTAGCAACGTCTAGAGTCCTAGAACCCCCCAAGGCATTGTACAACACAATCTGTCATCAACCTATTCACACACACATTCACACCCTGGTGGTGATGAGCTTCAGTGTAGCTGCAGCTGCCCTGGGCTACACTGACAAAAGCAAGGTTTCCAAGCACTGGCGCCACCAGTCCCTCTGCACATCCAGGGCACAAAGCTCCCATTCCATTACATCCCAAAGAGGCTCTGTCGGGTTGAGATCTGGTGACTGTGGGGGCCATTATAGTACAGTGAACTCACTGACATGTTTAAGAAGCCAGCAAAAAATGGCTGGAGCTTCATGACATGGTGCATTATCCTGCTGAAAGTAGCCATCAGAAGATGGGTACATGGTGGTCACGAAGGGATGGACATGGTCAGAAACAATGCTCAGGTAGCCCGTGGCATTTAAACCATGCCCAATTGGCACTAAGGGGCCTAAAGTGTGCCAAGAAAACATCCTCCACACCATTGTAATGTGATGAAGGAGCTATTCCTCCAAGGTTATTTAACCTCTATCCACAGTTGCCTTTTGACACAGCGCCAGAGTGCATGAGACAGCCTCAAGGTCATGCATTTGCTTCTAAACTGTTTACTTTCCAGCAAAAAGAAGACAGAAGATGAAGAGACTCTTTTCTTTTATTAAATCAAAGAACTCTATTTTAAGAAAGCTAATCAAAACAACTGTTAGTCAATAATACAATGTGACTGATCTGTGAAATGACAATGTTATGATTAATATGTTTTAATAAGTAATATGACTTATTCTAGTTCACTAGACACACGTAATGAAAACAATCACATGACACATTGCTGTACTGATCCAATCAGAAACTTCCTAGTCTGAAACGTGGCATAGTCTCTGTGGTGTTTATAAATCTGCCAGCTTTGATTCGACCAGAATTCAAAACATCCTAACACATCTTAACATCTTAAGTTCAGTTCTCAAGATCCCATGGAGACCACATGCTAAGTGAAGTATTGGACCGGCCATTCTGTACTTCTCTTTTTAAGTTGAGAACCATCAAGCTGGGAAAAATCTGTTGTTTTTACCAACCAAGCAACGGTTCCTTTCAGAATAAAAGCTGAACTCGCTGACCCAAGGAGGGTCCCCTTTTGACGCTGTGAACCACCTGTCGCTTTTTACCTGGAGACTATCCAAAGAATGGTATGTCGTACTGTCGACGCTGTTTCATCGGCTCCAGTACCAGAGGAGGGTCTGTGGACCTGGCATCCGGATCTTTACAGAGATCTCAAATCTTTTTTTTTTTTTAACCGTGTCCTGTCTGGCTGTGAAGCAAGCAGAATTGATGTCTGAATGCTGGTGACAAGCCTTACAGATTTATTCTCCGGTGGAGCGTCAAAGCGTCTGCTTTTAACGTCACGACTGATACTTAAAACTTTATTGTTATTGTTTTTGAATGCTTTGTAATTCCGACCAGACACGGAGACAGAGGTGAAAGAGAAAAGAAAAGACAAATGGTGGGAAGAGAGAGAGAGGGCGGTCCACAAAAATAAACAATAATGAACAAGAGTGCTTCTAGACCTGCAGAAAGAGAAGAGCAGAAAAAGGGACATAAAACAATACATCAGGAACAAGCTATCACTGCGTCAACCTGATGATGAAATATAAAATCAACATTGTTTAACTGAACAATCACACGATAATAAATCATAGTGCATTTAGTGGCAACGACAGCCTTGAGACAAGTGTTGAACGTGCCCAAGCCCATACTATTGAGAGCACCTTGTGAGCACCTGTGTGTGTACACGCGCTTGTTTATGTAAGGTTTCTCTACAGGAGCGTCCAATAGAGAGTGCGAGGGACCACAGATCTGCCCCCAAAGATGTGTAGGAGACGGGGGAGCTCCAAGTCCCAGAGATCCAGGTGCTGCCCCAGAACACAGGAACCCCAAGGGGACTGCAACCAGAAAGGCCCCCCGCCCCCCTCGAGAGGCACAGAGGATCGCCCTGGGGGGCCACAACCAGCAGCCGGCAGAGCCCCGGGAGATATCAGCGGCAAGCCCACAGGCCCGCCCGCCGCCTCCCACCCCCTAGCCGGCCGAGCCCGGGACCCAGCGACCCGGGACCCAGGGGCGACCAGGCAGCCACCGGGATTGACCAGGCAGGCTCCAAAGATCTTAAACCCCCTGACCCGAGAGCCACGAACACTCAGGCAGACCAAGGCACCACACCCCACACCAGGTGTGGCAGGGGGAGGGGAGACGAAGATCTATATCATCAAAGGAGGTCCCAGGAGAGGGGAGGAGTCAAAGAGATCTCAATTCTGAGGGTATGTGGATGCGACAATATGCCGTCTCATGTGGTTATGAAACTATTCTGATCAGTTAGGAGAAAAACATCATCCCACTCAGACTTGTCTCTCCGGATACAAAGGTTCTGAATGACACTCATTCACATGCACCAACCATCTCACACCCCATTCAAACAGAACATCCATCTTTAGCAGAGTTAGTCTTGTTAAATTGTTTAAAATTATTTAGTAATAAATCATCTTTAAACGGTTGAAGGTCTCTCTCTTCTCTTGTCTCTCAGTTAATACAAAGTGTTATCTAAATCCCTGCATGAAAAAGTTCCAATCTTCTGATTTAAATAACCCAGTGTCCGCAAGATGGATTTCATACTAGATATGAAATTTTAATGTCTTATGGTCCTTAATTAAATGTAAATTACTAATGTCACACCATTACACCACCACCACCAGCCTACACAGTGGTAACAATGCATGATGGATCCTTGTTCTCGTTCTGTTTACGCCAAATTCTGACTCTACCATTTTAATGTCTTAATAGAAATGGAGACTCATCAGACCAGGCAACATTTTTCCAGTCTTCAACTGTCCAATTTTGGTGAGCTCATGCAAATTGTAGCCTGATTTTCCTATTTGTAGTGGAGATGAGTGGTACCCGGTGGGGTCTTCTGCTGCTGTAGCCCAACTGCCTTAAGGTTGTGCGTGTTGTGGCTTCACAAATGCTTTGCTGTGTTCCTCGGTTTTAACGAGTGCTTATTTCAGTCAAAGTTGGTCTTCTATCACCTTGAATCAGTCAGCCCATTCTCCTCTGACCTCTAGCCTCAACAAGGCCTTTTCGCCCACAGGACTGTTGCCTACGGGATGTTTTTCCCTTTTCACACCATTCTTTGTAAACCCTAGAAATGGTTGTGGGTGAAAATCCCAGTACCTGAGCAGATACTGAAATACTCAGACCGGCCCGTCTGGCTCCAACAACCATGCCACACTTAGAATGGCTTAAATCATCTTTCTTTCCCATTCTGACTTTCAGTTTGAAGTTCAGGAGATGGTCTTGACCAGGACCACGCCCCTAAATGCACCGAAGCAACTGCCATGTGATTGGTTGATTAGATAATTGCATTAAGGAGAAGTTGAACAGGTGTTCCTAAAAATCCTTTAGGTGAGTGTAGATAGCTGCTTTATGAAGTTGAAAACATGTAGTGGGATAAAGCAACCTACATTTTAAAACTTTGTTTTGTTTTCTTATAATTTTTCTGTCCTGTCGGTCTCTTTTCTTCCTGCATCGTCTCTCAATTCTACAAAAAACCTGCTGCCTGGTGTCCTATGTTTTCACCTCCTGAGTTCCTTGTGATTAAAGCAGATCAAAGGAATCTACCTACTTCAAAAATAGCACAATGTGCACTGCGCGATGGACGCACCGGTGGGTCACCGGAGCACAAGACATGTGATGCGCTCCGCAGCGTATGAGGCCCGAAAGACAAAAAGCACAAGAGGATATGATCTGGCAAAAACGATTGTGTGTTAAGTGCATTTTTTGGGGGGTGCAAGGCGACAATTTGAGAATGTTCCTGTGTCCGTGAGCTTTCTGGAGCACAACAGCAATCAGCGCTCTGCATCCTCTCCGCTCAAAAGAATCCCAGAGAGTCCACATTAATAATGTAATAAAAGTAGAACTTTTTTTTGGGCTCCCCCTGAGTGTGTGAGTTGAGGGCTTCCAGGGAAGCCCGCCGTAACCCTTTTGGTGTGCCGGTGTAACGTCCAGAAAGGGTCAATTTTGACCTATATATTGACTATATAGTGGCCGGTCACCAATAGACATAATTCCACTATCTGAGTGGAGCTGCTACTCTATCTTCTAACACCCAGAAGATTCTGCAGTGCTTGTTGACATTCCATGAAGACAAGGTTGTCAGCCTGTGTCTCCAAACAAAGCTTTCTTCTGATGGGACTGCAGGATTCCCCACACTGAATGAAAAGTGAACATTTACAACTCATAAGTTAAATAATCATTAAATAAATCATATGGTTGAATGAACCAGATGTTATATGAATAATAATAATAATGTTTGGATAATTGGTGCCTAATTCAGTGAAGTTGAAATGAATGCTATTATTACAATGAAACATTTATATGTTATGATCAGTACTGTTTGAGTTAACAAGTGAATCATTATCTACACTCATACACAATGTTCATAAGATATAAATTACAGTTAAGGTCACATCTCACATAATGTTTAAAGATTATTTATTCACAGAGTTACAACATTTTTGTATCTGATGAAGGTGTAGTTTCTGAGGGATGTTTGGTAAACCTACAACATGTTTGGAAAACACTCGCTTCAGTGGGAGGAATCTTCCCGCATGCGCTCTGGTTCTGCAACGCGCTCCAAGCCAATCTCCACAACTTCAGCTCGCTGTGCACATATGCGCTGACAGCGAGCTGCGCTGAGCAGTGTCCAGCTCAGATGTTCAGATGGGAATCTTTTCTTGAGTGATTTAGCTACATCTGCAATGAGCGTAACGAATAAAATGTCAGTTCACCTGCATGGGAGGATTGCTGACTATTTTTAAAGCGAATATCCCCTGCAAGATGGTATCCTTCCCCACCATCATCAATAGTTTTGAACTGATTACGTTCGAACTGGGTAATACCCATCCAGTCCTATGTGTGCTTGTTTATCGCCCCCCTAAGTTCAATAAGGACTTCATTGAAGAATGGTCAGAACTTTTGGCACAAATAATAACGAAATACGAACGAGTCCTGATTATGGGTGATTTTAATGTTCATGTTTGCTGTCCTGCCAAGCCCCTTGTGAAAGATTTTACTGATACACTTAATTCTTTTGGTCTTAAGCAGGTTGTGTCGGTTCCTACCCATAACCAGTCTCATATTTTAGATTTAGTGATGTTTTATGGGATAAATGTTAATAATTTGTGTGTTGACGAAACTGTCATTTCTGATCATTTTCCAGTTTTGTTTGATTTTGATTGTCCGGTGAGCTTAGGTAAAAGGCATGTGGCGCTGCGCCAGACACGGGTTATTACCCCGGCTACAGCTGATAGATGTTGTGCTTCTTTCACTGAACTGCTGGCCTCCACCCTATTTTACACCAATCCAGATGATGCTTTGTGTGTTTTTCACTCAGCCTGTCTCATAGTGATGGATACCTTTGCTCCTTTAAAGGTTAGATGCCCTAAGCCAAAATCTGACCCTTGGTTAAACTCTCACACACATGAACTCAGAAGATTATGCAGAAGGTGTGAACGCAGATGGAAGAAGGATAAACTATCCATTACACTTGAGCTTTTTAGAAATGCACTAGATGAATATCAGAAAGCAGTCAGGAATTCTAGAAATAAATACTTCGCCAGCATTATTACTACCCATTCTGGGAACCAGAGGGTTTTATATAAAACGCTAAATGCAGTTTTGTCCACTGATGACTCTCCTACGGTTGCAATCACAGATGATCTCTGCTCCCAATTTTTAAGTTTTTCCCTAGACAAAGTCTCCAATACTAGGAGTCTAATCATCTCCCCCGGAGATGTTCTGCTACCCGTATCTGTTTGTACCGGATGCTTTGACCATTTTGAGCCGATCACACTGCCTGCCTTGGAGAGATTAATATTTTCCATGAAGCCATCAGGATGTCCTGATGACATTGTACCAGCCAGACTCTTCCAGGAGGTTCTTCCAGTGGTAGCCCCTCATGTGCTCAACATTATTAACTCCAGCCTTCTTTCGGGAATTATACCCTCTGTTTTTAATCTTGCCGCGCTTCAACCACTACTGAAAAAATCTGGCCTAGACCCAACTGACCTCGGGAACTTTTGCCCCATTTCAAAGCTCCCCTTCTTGTCAAAAGTGATGGAAAAGGCTGTTTATAATCAAATTATGCCACATCTGAACAATTTTGGGGTCTTGGATAAATTTCAGTCTGGTAATCTGCTCACATCAGGGTTTTTAATGATATTATTTTAGCCACTGATTCCGGTTCCCATGTTGCCCTGGTGATGTTGGACCTCTCAGCTGCATTTGACACGGTTGACCTTGACATTTTATTATTCCGCCTTGAGAATTTGGTCGACATTAAGGGATCCGCGCCTGACTGGTTCTGCTCCTACTTTGACAACAGGTCTATTAGAGTTAGAATGGACGGCTGTTTATCTCCCTCTGCTGCTCTTCCTTGGGGCGTGCCACAGGCGTCTATCCTCTGCCCCCTTTTATTTAGCATTTATATTCTTCCACTGGGACTAATCTTCAGGAAGTTTAACATTAACTTTCATCTTTATGCGGACGACTGCCAGATTTATGTTCCATTGAAGACTTTTACCTCCATCCAGCCGCTCCTTGATTGCCTGAGTGAGGTTAAAGACTGGCTGTCAGCAAATTTTCTGCTGCTGAATGATTTTAAGACCGAGTTTATTGTTTTTACTCCGAATGGCTCGTCTTCCTCCGCTCCTGACTTTTCTGCTCTTCCTTTTAAAATTAGTCAAACAATTGCTAATCTTGGAATTAAAATTGATGTGGCTCTAAAAATGGACCCTCATGTTAATCACATGGTTAAATCATGTTTTTATCAGCTGAGACGTCTTTCCAAACTAAAACCCATTCTGAATCGGCACCACCTCGAGACAACCATTCACGCTTTCATCACCTCAAGGTTGGACTACTCCAATGCAATTCTGTTTGGCATTTCAAAAGCCGCATTATCTCACCTTCAGCTGATACAAAATACGACAGCAAGATTTCTGACCAATACTGGCCGTCGGCAGCACATCACTCCAATTTTAGCAAGACTTCACTGGCTTCCTGAGCACTACTGTTTTAAAATTTTATTGTTAGTTTTTAAGGCGCTGAATGGCTTAGCACCACCTTACATATCCAAGTTACTCACTGTCATGGTGAGGGGATGGTTGGACCCAAAATGCAGAAACCCAGGATGACACAATGCAGATGGTTGAATAAATAAAAATCCTTTATTTTATGGTGAGCAAAAACAAAAATAAATCCAAGGCAGGGCGCCAAAATCCACTAACTCTAGAGAACACAAGAAGACCAAAAAACTAATAATCCAAAAGGGAGAACGAGACTGACAGGATTACAAACAAACATTAATGGACTGACACAAGACAAAGACAAGACAGGGCTTAAATAGACTGGGAGAGGCAACCAGGAAAACAGGCAGCAGGTGTGCGGAGTGAGCTGCTGGAGGGAAGGCAGGTGACGATAATAATCTAAATGGGGAAACAGAACAGAGAATGGCAGATAACCCTAAAATACAATATTTAAACTCAAAGACTGAGGGAAAGGCTCACACAAACTGTCTGGAGGAGGACATAATACACACACATATACACTCATACACACACAAAAACACTAACTGGGCAGGACATGCACACACACACACACACAAACACCAACTGGGCAGGACACGTACACACACACACACACACACACACACACACACACTGAGCTGGAGACAAGGCTGGAGCTACAGACTGGAGGAGGCTGAGGATGACTAAATGAAACACCGGACCTGAAGGGATAATATGAGGACCTACAACCAAAATACACAATATAGAGACGCAGACCATGACACTCACTCCTTATGTGCCAGGCAGGACTCTCCGTTCAGGTGACCTACACCTACTACAGATTCCCCGTCAACGCTGCAAAACTCGTGGTGAACGAGCTTTTTCTGTCTGCGCTCCGAAACTCTGGAATGATCTCCCGCTGTATATCAGACTCTCCTCCTCCATTGGGGTTTTTAAGTCTCACTTAAAGACTTACTTTTATTCCCTTGCTTTTACTGCCTAGCTATTTTATCAATGATTTATTTACACTGTTCTTTTAATGATTTTATTGACTTCTCTTGGTTGGTTCTTTGTGCTATGCTCTAGTTGTTTTATTCTTTTATATCATTCGTTTAACCTTATATGTTTTTACCCCTGTACAGCACTTTAGTCAGCTCACATGCTGTTTTTAAATGTGCTTTATCAAATAAATGGAATGGAATGGAAAATGGAATGCGTCGGGGTAATTCTTTCTATTCTTTCTCCGTCAAAATAAACGGTCAAATGCGGGAACTATCCGGTCAACACAACACAAGCCCTGCTTTTGACTGTTTTGTTTTCTTGTGAAAATTGTTGGAAAGAGATCAATTTTAACTTGATTACCACCAGAGCCTGTGCCGTTATCTCCGTGATGGTAAATGAGGGAAAAACAAATCGATAGGATCCTGCACGTCTTTTAACACATTGGTCAGGATTGACACACTTTGTTTTCATTTAGTTGGTTAAAAAAAAGTCGGGCTCGGGCCGGGCCAGAGAATCCTGAAAACCTTTTCGGACCACGTCGGGCTGGGGCTCCACCCCCTCGGGCCGGGCCGGACACTCAGATTTTAGGCCCGTGCAGGGCTCTACTTCAGAGTCCATCTGTCTTAGACGCAACCAACCGTCATGCCTGTTGTGATCTGGAGACAACTCAAGACCGGTCTGATCGCGCTGCGGTTACTCTGTGAACCTCAGTGCCTTGGGGTCCACCAGACTTCCTGACATTCCAGATCTACAACGTGGGTCTCCATCAGGGATTGTAGACTCAACAGATTGCGTCTGATGTTGTTTTATTAATAATCAACTCTAGTTTATAGCAGACCAAATTATTTTACAACCAGAACTCACAGTTTCTTCCAGATACAAAGGTTCGGATATACATCTACCATTCCATCATCACACATCACCATTCCATCATACACTCATCACATATCATTCATAGCTTGTCATGTATTATAATTAGTCTTGAAAATAAAGTTTATTTTTAAGTATATACTTGACTGTCTGAATTAATACAAAGTGTGTTTATGGTCCCTGAATAAGCAAAACATCCTAAATTCTTCTGGTTAAACATTCAAAGATCAATCAGCTTGATATTCTATATTTATATAGAATCATCACATCTTACTGGTCATAATTTAACCCCCCAATCTCACAACAGTGGGCTCCCCTTAGCTCCCCTGTAATTCAAACCCTGGTTAGGTGTCTTGCCCAACGACACACCAGCAGCATTTCCTTGCCAGGAGCTGGGACTGATCCTGCAACATTTCAGTTACTGGCAACCTGCTCTACCTCCTAAGCTGCTGCTGCCCCATTCAGTTAGAGAATTTAATTTAAAATGTACAAAATAATTCTATATAAATACTGCATCATATAAAGCAACACAGAAAAAGTACCTGTAATGGAAGCTGTTATACACATCGTTTCTGTAGTACATGTCTTCTGTATCGTGGTTGAGCATGCTTGATCTGTGCAGGTGTTGCACTGCAGGGCTCCAGCTGCAAATAAGAGAAACACAATTTAATCAGTTTTTTCCCCTGGAAGTTTCTAAACTGTCACACAAAAAAATCCACAGAATTAATCAAGAATTTATGAGAAGAATGTAATTGTTTTTGTAATTTTGGTTGGTTGTTAAACCCATATTGTTTTTTAATTATTTATTTCTATTAAAACATAACAATACATTTCCAGCTATACCGTGTTAGAACCTTGTAAGGAGGCTTGAATTTGATCTCTCTCTGCCTCTCTCCATTTGAAATGGAATGCAATATGGCAGCTATGGCTAGTCAAACTCAGTCAGCACTGTAGGATTGTGTGTCAGTTTCACAATCATTCAACCACATTTTGAAGCAGTGCAGAATGCAGTTCTGCATTTGCAGTCGTCAGTGCTGTATTCTGACCAAATATGTTCTATTTACTCCTGCACCACTGGAGAAATGGTAAACTTTCAGAAAGAATTGGTTCATTTTTTCTTTACACCTCCTTACGTTTTTGAAGCAAATCCCATCTACATAGCTAATCAACATTAGTCAACACAGAAAAGGCTTTAACAGTATAGCTTCCACAACTGAATTTGTTTGGTGTGATGTTAAATAAAATTAAATTTAAAAAATGACAGGTTTCCTAGAACAAACATAAATAAAAGATATGTTTGACTTTAATTCAATATCAAATGTTTCTAAATAATTAAAAAGGTCTAAATTGAAAAGAATAAAATTATCTAGTGCAAGAAGCCTATGTCCTCATATGGACGCAGGGTCTCAGGAGGTTAACATGGTAGTAAGATCCCAGAATGTCATTTTTAATATTTGACCTAATTCACTACAAGTCCATCATATTTCCCCCTAATAATTAGAATTTCATTGGAAATTCTGGGATGAGGTTTAGTGAGCAATTTGCATTTCTACAATCACTGATGTATTTGATACCGTTAATAAGAAAGTATCTAAAAATCTTTGCACATTGCAGATGCCTACAATTAATACTTGGAATGACTCCGAAATAAAATAGTAAAATCTGAAACATCAAATGAAATACTGCACACTTTGGTGAATAATACAATTTTAATATTTCAACATTTTAAACTTTACAACAACAAAGAAATCCACCTTTGAGCATATTTCTATCAACAGAAATGGTTACAAAATCACAAGTGGAGTTACCTGTGCTGGTGAGCACCCAGACGAGAGTCAGAGAAAATAATTGTTTCATTGTTTCATTGTCTCAGGAGAGTTCTGTAGATAATTTCAAACTAAGATCTCAGGGTTTCACTACATCTTATATACTGCCTGGGTGACTGGGTGTGTTAGCACATACCCACGTCATAATTCAAAAACCAACTTGTCTTTGTCAAAATATCCTGACAATAAGACAACACACCTTGACACACCTTTTCAGCACGTCAATATGGAATTAGGTGGAATGGTTCACAATACAAAATCTATTTACATACCAATATGATGGAATCTAGAACCGGCTTTCCCAATTTGTCTTTGAGCTTGTTCTTGGCCCTGCCCTCCGTGTAAAAGTGCAAACCAGCTGGTTGGATTTTTTACTTTTGTACTTTGGCTTCATCAGTTTCTTATGTCATAAAATTCAAACATAGGTTGGATCATCTTGTAGAAATGTAGATTTTGTGCCATTAACCTGTGTCGTATAATTTAGAGAATAGTTTCATTAGTCAGTCAAGGTGAGAATGTATTTGGATTTTGTAAAAATTTGTTAAAGAAACAATTTAAATATGATCTGAAATGGTATTTATTGAAACTATCACTGGCTTTCCCACATAAATTTTAATTCATTTATTAAAAACAATTTTTCAACTTCTAAATTGTTATACCCACGTTGGGGGCAAAATCTAGTTTTAACCCTTTGTCTACTATTGAGTCAAATTCTCATAAATCCAATTCTGTCCCTAAAAGAGGGAGACTAGAGGTCTTCTCACACCTCTATTCTCAGCTCACTGCCCGGGGCTGGAGGCTAGGAGAGGGAGCTGGCCGTCTGGTTGGGGTCTGGGGTAGTGGGTTGCTTCGCCCTGCGTTGGGCGGGGTTGCCTGCTCATCGTTACCCCAGTAAGAGATGGGCCATCTCCTTCCAGGAATGGTCATGCCCGCAGTGCAGCTGTACCTGGACCAGAGTGTGTGAGTGGGTGTATGACGTGCACTCTTGGGGGTCTTTAGGTTGGATGTGTGAGTGTGAGGGTGGGCGTGTGTAATTGTAAGGTGGGGTCTGTGGCACCACAACACCTTTGGCTTACCCATTCCATGCCTCGTCTGGATCATCCAGATGATCATGGGCAAAATTCAGCTGGGCCTGGACATGGGATGACTTGAGCAGGGGATCTTTCCATACAATGCATGACAGCATTGTGTAGGCTACCAACAGTGACCTTTGAAAATGTGGTCCTAGCTCTCTTCATGTCATTAATGTATCTTTCCGGAGTTTTCCCCTTTCAAGAATTGTGTGATTTTTCAGAAGTCTGTAAAAGTGATTGTCTCATCATTTACTGTGATACATCATTTTATTTATTTTTTGCTAAGCACGCCCCTGCCCCACAGAGCTCCATGCAAAAGGAAGCAGAGTATCGACCAGAACTAACAAATGGCGTTAGACTACCGCTTAAGTGCTTTTAAATTTAAGGAATACCTCAGCTGATGCAGAGTTGATGAACTTTTCATGGGTAAGTGAGTCTCTAAAATATACATATGAGGACACAACGTGAAAACACTTGCAAAACAACGTGTTTTAGCTCTGTTTGTCAGCTACAGAAGCACATTTATTAACAAGAAATGTGAAGTCGGCATCTTAAAAAAAATGGAAAGATAAATTATTCGTGTGATATGCTTATCAACCACTAAATTGTGCGATCGGACAGGAAAAATACTCCAAAAAGAGATAAGTAGCTCCTTCTGTGTAGTTTTGGTCTGATTCTTCATTTTTCTTATCAGTGATACCCCATGAGCTGAGATCTTGCATATAGCCCGTGTCTGAGGCAGTGTGACAGTTGTCTTTAGCCTCTTCCATTTTCTAACAATTGCTCTAACTGTTGATCTATTTTCACCAAGCTGCTTGGTAATTGCCCCGTAGCCCTTTTCAAGGTCCAGTTTTGCTTCTAGTGTCTTTTGACACCTGTTTGGTCTTGCCCATGATAGTAGCTGGAGTCTAACTGACTGTGGGGTAGACAGGTGAGGACTTCACATCACATACCTCCACCACAACCTTTTGCATTCTTGAAGTAGATGTAAGAAAGTAGTTCAAGAATCTGAGTGCATGGAAATCCCCAGACCCTGATGGTGTACCTCAGCACTGTGCTGATGAGCTGGCCCCTGCGTTTATCAGCATTTTCAACTCCCAACACAGTAAAGAGAGCTGGGTTAAAAATAAACTAATTTAGGTTGCTTTGCAACCCAACTGCTAGGTGAGGAAAGGACTGAGCCAGCCCAGGGTTGTTTTAGAGTATCTGCACTTTAAAACCCACCCCTGAAAGACCTCACCAACTGCCACACATGCAGGAGCTATCAAGGAGATATCCCTGATCAGTCTCAACTACTTTGGAGTTGCACCAAACAGCCTTTTATGCTGCACCCACAGGTGCAGCAACTCATGATCATGACAGGCTACACAAAGCCAGACTAATAGTGACAGAGGGGCGTGGGCATAGACATCCAAAGCAGCCAATAAGCTGGTCGCACTGGCACAGCAACATACGTTTGTCAGATCGGTGCGTGGTTTCTCTCATTGCAGGCGATGTAACAGTCATGTGCCTGCCTGCTTCAAGATTTCCACCGTAGTCCTTTTCCTCAAGAAGCCAAGGATCACTGGACTCAATGACTACAGACCTGTGGCTCTGACATCTGTGGTCATGAAGCCATTTGAGCACCTGGATCCCCTCGAACACAAGACCCTCACAGCCCCCCTCCTGGACCACCTGCAGTTTACAAACAGAGCCAAGAGGTCTGTATATGAGGCCATCAACATGGCTCTACACTTCATCCTGCAGCATCTGGACTCCCCAGGTACCTACTCCAGGATCCTGTTTGTGGGCTTCAGCCCTGCCTTTAACACAATCTGCCCAGACCTCCTCCAAGACCAATTGTCTCAGATGAGCATGCCTGATCCCATCTGCAGGTGGATCACTGACTTCCTGACCGACAGGAAGCGAAGTGAGACTGGGAGAGAATGTCTTCGCCCAGCGGCCATCAGCACAGGCGGTGTTGGGGAGAATACTCTGTAAATGTATTTAGTTTCAGAATACTGAATACTTGCTTTAAAATGTATTCTGGAATGTATTCCATTACTTTGTTTAATCTTGGTACTGTATTCAGAATACTAAGAATACTTTCCCATAAAAACAGCATTTAGGTCTATTAAATGTCACAATATGTGTTGATAGCTACTCCTGCAGGAAAGCTGGGCATATTAATGATAACTGTCATGTACCGACTGGGGAAAAAAAATAAAATGATAAAATTATTTTTTGTTACTTTATCAAACAGTCAATAGAAAATATACCGTAAATCCTCTAATACAGGCCCGGGCCTGTATTTGACTCAAGCTCATCAAGCTCCGGGCCTTTATTGGATGGAGGGCCAGAATTAGAGGCAGGCCTCTATTTCTATTTGAGCAAAATGAACTAATGGTTTGCTGGAGTTTTTGACAATTAAAATTGCGCTCACATGTTCAAAGTTAAACACATTTCTTTTAACAACGGTAGTTTCTGCTTCAGCCCCCTCCCCCCTCCCCCTGCGCAGCGGCTACAAACTCAATGATGCACCTGCAGCCTCTCAGAGTTCCTGCTGCTCTAAACATTAAAATAATAATTTCATTTTCTGTTCCTCACTTCTGATTACCTTCAATGGTGTCTGTTTGTTGCAACCAGGTATAAAAACTAACTTGTTTTTATTTGACTATTTTTCTGTCCTGTCTGTTTATTATCTTCCTGCATCTCCTCTCAATCCTAAAGAGAAACTGCTACCTGGGTTCATATATATTCACCTTATGAGTTACCTTTGAACTGCAGTTCTAAAAGATCTGCCGACCGATAAAACAGCGGAGTGCTCGCTGCTTGCCGGCCGCATCAGTGATCGGTGCGTCACCGGATGACAAGGTGATGCGCCCCGCTCCACAGCAGCGAAACACATCAGGCGCAAATAAAAGACAGAAAACATTAAAGGAAATGAACCGACATGAACGATCGCGTGTCAGTACCGACGCTCTGGCACAGCGTGTTGCCCCCCGAGCGCAGGGGCTTGTCACCTGCTGATAGCAGGCTGCTGTCTTTTCCGAGGGCTGCATCTTGCCGGTCATTATCACGTGACAGCGACTAGTCGATGACAGGCATAAAAAGTCACTAAAGTGAAGATGACTAGTTCATACAACCCCTATTGCTCCCCAGTGTTCTGCAGCGCACGTTCTCTTTGAACTTGATATCAAATTTTCACCTCCTCTTCGTCTCCGCACGGTTAGTTACCCTCGCGGTCTATCACTGGCAAATCAAAAGTGAGACGATGACACAACCGCCCCCCCGTACTTGCTTGTTACCACATTCCACCCGGCCACAATAAGAGACCGGCCATTATTCACCTCCGCCGACTCCGACACCGGCCAAAATATGAGACCCGGCCGTTAATTTAATACAGGCCTGTATTAGAGGATTTACGGTATTTCTGTTTCTGTGAGAAAGTGCTTGAACATTGCACAGCATTACTGTCTGCAAGAAAATGTAATCTAGACAAAACGCTTCTAAATAATTGGGACTGGCCAACCACAGCGCATTTATTTAGAAAAAAGATGTATTATTTTTATTTTTTATTTGTTTTGTAGTTTTTCCAAGATGGAATGGCGGACTGCCTCATTGACAGGCATCCAACGCAGTCAAATTACAGTGCTCTATATGTTTGATGGGCCAATCATAGCACTCTGTCAGCCAATTGGGCAGGATGTACCTGCAAGTTAGCAAACCAAGATGACCGCTGCTCCGTAGTGGTTCTATCACAGCGTTGTTTTGGTTTGGTGGGCCAATCACAGCACTCTGTTGGTGGATGGGATATTACTGTTATAAAGATAGCAGTGGATCGTTTGAAATGGCTTTGGCATTAACTTTGGACTATTTTTGATTTAGGGTTTTCTTTGAGTCAAAAGGAGATGGATGGAGGTACTTAAGTTTATTTAGAAAAGGACGTATTTGCATCTTTTTTGACAGAGCAGTGCGG